TTAGGATTTAACAATGAATTTTGGGGGGGCACAAACATTCAGCCTATAGCAATGAGTGTCTGTGGGTGATGACTCGGGGTCCACACTTGTGTGCCACCCACTGTTAAATTCTCTTTGTTAAATTCTATTGGTGGAGTCCAGGGGTGGGAGGGCAGTGGCAGAATTGGTCTATGAAACAGCGCCCAGCACCCAAGCAGTTACAGAGTAACCCAGCCAAGTGAATAAATTAGATAAGGTCAATGTATATTTAGGTAATAAACCAAAAATGGCAGCCTGCTTGGGGAAAACCAGCAGACTTCCGGCTCGCAGTAGCTCACCGGCAGCTCTGTGAGCTGTCTCTGGGTTTGTCCGTATGTGTCATGTCTTATGAGAGGTCTGTGATCTGCAGATCACTTGGGTATTTCTCAGCCGACTTGGACTTTGCTCTGACACCACCTGCTGCCAAGGCGATGAACCAGGTTGCAAGGGCAGCCGAGTCTCCGTGCGGTGACAGGCTGCTGCTGTCTGGGGTTCCTGGGCTGGAGGCTGCGTGTGGGTGGACACCCAGGCAAAGAACATGAAAAAAGAGGAAGGAAAGAGAAAGTCTCGCTTTGATGAATTCTGGACAGGCAGCATTAACACTCACAAGGCTGGAAAGATTTCATTTCAGCACACATAGAATTCGGTGTGTGAGTGAGAGACACACAGTCTTCTCAGGGGTAGAGATGTTAAAAGTCCGAGGACACATGGACCAAAGAGCGGCTCTTCCAAAGTGTCTCCCTGGCGTGGGCAGGTTTGCCCTCTAGCCACATGCTCTTCCCCCTGGGCCTGACTTGGAAGGCAGACTCTTGGAACTTTAAGGAAGAGGAGCCGGCAGAAAGGTGGGTGGGGAACCAGGCTGAGCTCCCTCACAGCTGCCCAGGGAGGAGGAGTTTGCAGAAAGAAGAGCGTGGACAGGTAGCAGCACCTCAAGAAAGGAGGGAGAATGGGAAGAAGTCCCTGGATTTGGAATTTGGAGGCCTTGGGAGATCCTGGAGCCTCTCCCCACTTTTGTTTGGCCAGGACCGCACATCACCGGTCCTGCCTCCCCTGCCTCTGGGGCTGCAGCCGCTCCTCACCTCACTCCCACCTCCCTCTGGCCTCCGAGCACGGCTGTTCCAGGGAGGAGGTGGCCAAAGCAAGGCAGTCTTCTTGAAAAATCGTCACGCTGATGACGCACTGATGCTCTGATCAGAAGTAGCAGCGTGTCCTTCGAATGCGGCAGGAGGACCCGGCAGCCACCAGCAATGGAGACACGGTTTCCATAGCAACGGCAGGTTTTGAAAAGATCACTGCATCTCCTGTTCCATCAGCTAGAGGAGGATGCTCTGGCTCTCCACGCCAAGGTCCCCTCGAGCCAAGCTATCGCAGGGAAAAGGGGCTGAGCCGAACAAGGGTGGCCAGTGTGTTTGGCTGGTTCTGTGGCTTTCTCTGCCAACCTGTCCAATTTGCCCTGAGCACAGGAACATACAGGAGAATCAGAGAGGACCCTGATACCATTTAGTAAATATTTCTGGCTCAGCTTACTTAGATTTTTTTTCAATCCTCACCCAAGGACATTTTTTTTTTCCTTTCTATTTATCTTCAGATAAAGTGGGAGGGCAGGAGAGAGAAACATCAACGTGAAAGGGACACATCAACTGGTTGCCTCCCGCATGACCCAACCAGGGCTGGGGACGAACCGCAACCGAGGTATGTGCCCTTGATCGGAATCAAACCTGCGATTGATTGGTCCACGGGTCTACACTTTAACCATGGAGCCAAACTGGCCAGGGCCAGCTTACTTAGATTTTATATTATTTTTTAAAAATTTTAAATTGACTTTAGAGAGAGAAGAAGGGAGAGGGAGAGAGAGATAGAAACATCAATGAGAGAGAATATCAACTGGCTGCTTCCTGCATGCCTCCCACCGGGGATTTGGCCCACAACCTGGGCATGTGCCTTGATCAGCAATCAAACCGGCGACCTCTTGTTGCATGGGTTGACGCTCAACCACTGAGCCACACTGGCCAGGCAGCTTACTTAGATTTAAAAATCAAATAGAGCTTCCACCTAAATGTTTCTTCTCTTCAGACCATGTGTTACTAAGGAGAGAGCAGACCAGGGGAGCAGAGGGTCACTGCCATCACCAGTACCCCGCCCCCGCTGGCCCATTCGGAGACCAGAGCGTTCTCTCGGCCGCCTGCGCCTCGGTCACTATTGTTCTCCTAGCCCTGAGCATGCTTCCTGGTACATAGTAGGTGGTTACTAAATGTTTGCTGAAAGAAATAAATGAGAAGAGAGAAGCCTATTTTCTTCTCCCTACCCCACTCCGCTCTGTCTCAGATCACACCCCGAAGGTAGGCTCTGAGGCTTTCAAGAACTTTAGTTTTGCCCTGGCCGGTTTGGCTCAGCGGTTAGAGCATCGGCCCTCTGACCAAAGAGTTGTGGGTTTGATTCCAGTCAAGGGCACGTACCTCGACTGCAGTTCGATCCCTGGCCCTGGTCGGGTCATGTGGGAGGCAACCAATCGACGTGCCTCTCTCAGATGTTCTCCCACTCTCTCCCTCTCTCCCTCCCTCCCACTCTATCTGAAAATCAAGGGGGAAATATCCTTGGGTGAGAAGAACGTTAGTCTGTGCCTTGCATGAGGCGCAGGCGTGTATTGCTGAGTTTTTGTGTAGCTCAGATGTTCCTTTTAAGGAATATTCAACAACATACAAAGCCTTCCAAGTCACCTGCCTTCTCCTGGCCCGTTGGCCATTTCCTCCAAGACTGACCACATCTGGACGCCGGCAGTGCGGTGGGAGCTGATGAGTCAGTAGTCAGGACAGGACGTGAATACTCCATCCACACTGACTATCTAGGACACTAAATTGTGCTCAGAAAATGCATGATAAGGCTGTAATGACAGACTAGAGCAGGCGATCCATGAATCTAAGCTCCAGAAAATCTCATCTCTGTGAGCTCAGGTTTGGGATTCAAAAGCGTATTTTAGTGTTTTTTTATCCTCACCCGAGGACATTTTTCCTTTTTTTTTTTTGTTCAGGTAGAGTGGGAGGGGGAGAGAGAGAGAGAGAAACATTGACGTGAAAGGGACACATCGAGTGGCTGCCACCCGCACGACCCAGGGCCGGGGACAAACTGCAACTGAGGTATGTGCCCTTAGCGGGAACCGAACCCGGGTCTCTCTGGACCACAGGCCGACGCTCTAACCGCTGAGCCAAACCGGCCAGGGCTATTTTAGTTTTTGTTTGTCTTCCACCAAAGGGCAAATGGTTTCTGCACACCCTGGAAAAACTGGGCGCCCAGGAGTTTCAGATTGAAGACACTCAGTGAACTGCCCGTCGCGCGTAGCTTGGGTGCTGCCGGAGGAGCAGGCTCCTCTGCCTTTCTCGGCAGCTGCATCTGGACGGAGAGGGAGGGGCCTCTGCTCTAAGGCGGGACAGGTCCAGACGCGTGTCTCGGGTGTCACTACTCCTCCAGAGATACCCTGGGCACCGTACCGTTTGCTATGTGTGTTACACCTTTATTCATTTGTTTAATAAATACTCGCTGAGTGTCACTAACATGCCGGGCATTGTTCTAGGCACTCAGGGTGCCAGGCCCAGCACAACGGACAAAGGGAGGAAGAGAGACTCAAGCAACAGACAATTAAACATTGGGTGACAAGGGGGGGTGTACAAAGGGGGGTGTCGCACAGGGAGGATCTCTATGGGAAGATTACGTTTGAGCAGAGTCCTGAAGGAAGTGAGAGAGAAAGTGTCAAGGCTGCCTAGGGGAAGAATCTTCTAGAAATTGGGGGCAGCCGGTGTGAAGGCCCAAAGCAGGGCAGCCTTGGGGGCAGTGAGCTGGGCTGTGTGACTGGAGGGGATCAGTGCGAGGTGACTGGAGCGGTAATGAGACCCGGTCGTGGGGAGGACTGTGACTTGGACTCTGAGCGAAAGGGGAGCCACCGGAGGTCAGAGAGTGGCTGCTCCATGCACGTGGTGTTGGGAGAGCTGGTGCGCCGAGGGGAGAAAGGACTGTAGGGAGACGGGAGCAGAGCCGGAGACCGGTTAGAAAGGCTCGGAAGGGTCCAGGTGAGCGGAGGTGGAGGAGTAGGAGACATGCTGACTGGGCCTGGACGTGGCTGAGTGCAGCCCACACACTTTCTCTGCTGGCCGATCAGGCGTAGGAGCCAGAGAAAGAAAGGAGTCAGGACGGCATCATATTTTTTGTCTTGAACAACTGGAAGGGCAGAGTTGCCATTTACTGATTTTTTAATTGATTTTTAAAGAGAGAAGAAGGGAGAGGGAGAGAGAAACATCAATGTGAGAGCGATACATCCATCAGCTGCCTCCTGCATGCCCCCTGGGGGATCGAACCCCTCAACCCCAGCATGTGCCTTGACCAGGAAGCGAACTGGCGACCTCTCATTACATGTGACAATGCCCCACCAACTGAGCCACCCCGGCCAGGGCACAAAACATTCTTAACGGCCTGTGAGATAGGCAGGCAGCCCTCAGGCCCAGTTCGGATGAGGACACTGGGCCAGAAAACGAGCGTGAGCGGCTCACATCCCAGCTGGTAAGGGGCAGGCTGGGCCTCTGGCTCCAGCTGTGTTCGTTTCCGTGTCTGCTCTAATAAAATACCACACATTCAGCGTCTTTGAAACAACGCAGATTAACTATCTTATAGTTCTCGAGGTCTGAAGTCCAAAATCAGCCTCAATGGACTAAAATCAAGGTGTCGGCAGGGCTGTGCCCCTTCTGGAGGACGGGGTGGGCACTGTGAGACCCGGGGCTTGGTCTCCTGCGGCTGTTTCCTCCTCTGGAAAATGAGGCAAGGACACCCCTTCCTCCTAGGGTCGTTGAGGAATGAAAGGGGACAACGGCTTTGAGAGCTGAGATTTCTCACGTTAGTGGGGAGGGTGGATGGACACCCAGGTCAGTACATTGGGCGACCTGGGACGTCTCCGGGAGGCCGCTCCTAAGGGAGGTGTTTGTTCTGGTTGTAGCACAATGGAGTATCCGTTGGGCCCGAGGAAGCCTCCGTTGCAGAGAAGAGCCAGGTCGCTGGACAGGTCACAGAACCCCGGGAAGGACTCAGAGTTGTGGGACAACCCGCGCCTATCCCTGCCCGCCACCCATTCCGGACGGGAGCCTGTGGGGAAGGCCAGCGACGGGAGCAGGCGTCTCAAGAGCCCAGGGTCTTCTGAGGCTCCGGGCACCACGGGTGCGGCCCTCCGGCCGGAGGGGACCAGGGAGCTTCTCCCCAGTGAGCAGAGGCCTCTGCAGGACACCAAGAAGGACAAGACCCAGAGTCGGGCCCAGCAGGGGTTGCTGAAGACTGTGCTGAACTTCTTCCTGAGGACAGGCCCTGAGGAGACCAAGGAAAAGGCCAGGAGGGCAAAGGGGAAGGAGGGCCTCCCCCAGCCCTCAGAAACCTCTGAGTGGCCAGGGCAGCCAGCTCCCAGGAAGAAAGCCCACGACAAGAAGGCCAGCCGCAAGAAACGCGGTCACAAGAAACATGTCGATGAGGAAACCAGGGGGGCCCAAGAACAGGAGGCCAAAGGCCAAGAGGCGGCGCTGCCCAGGACGGCTGCTGCCCTGCGCTCCGAGGAGGCTGACCTGGGCCCAGGACGCAGGGGTGAGCAGACCGTGCTGTTTCCGTGGTAACCCTGTCCCCCCCTCCCCTGCCAGGGGCTAGCGTCTCTGAGCTGGCCCACAGCCTCTCAGCAGGGGCTGAGGCAGGACAGCTGCCAGGAGCAGCCGCGCTGGAAGCTCTTTGGGGCAGAACAGCGCCTCGGCTGAGAGCGGACCGCGAACTAGCTGCGTGAGCTCGGGCTGGCGAATTTCCTCTCTGAGCCTTAATTTTTGTCACGATAAAATGCAGATAATGACCGTTCCTGTCTCATGGGGTGGCCGTGGCCCAGACCTGGCAGGCGGAAAGTGCCCCATAAGGGGTAGCTGTTCTTGTTCACACTCTGGTTCGAGGACACGGACCAGGAAAACCAGGGAAGGCAGGGAGGGAGGCGAGGACGGAAGCCCTCCCCCCACGTTAGTCTGCGTGTGAGGGCAGGTGGGGTCAGGGGAATGGGCAGAGCCAGCCGCTGGGGTGCTGGTTCTAGACTCGGCTCATCGGAATAAACTCGCTGTGTGATCTTGAGCAAGCTGCTGCCCCTCTCTGGACCCTTTGAGTCCTCATTTGTGAAATGAGGGAGTTGCTCTGCGATGTGCTGTTTCCTTGTCTCAATCAACAAAGTCAGAAGAATGTCACTGACAACCCCCCCCCCCCACACACACACATACACACATACACACTTGCTTTCTGCTTTATTCCAGGCGGGGAGGATGCTGATCTCCACCAGTCCTTGCTCACTGAAGGCCCGGATGCTGGCGTCCCAGCCTCAGGCCAGCAGCAGGAGGAGGAGCTCACAGACCCTGACCGTGAGTCTGAATCTGCTGCGTCCTCTTTGCCTGCAGGGAGGCGGACTGCCCTGGGGACAGCTTAGGGCTCGGGCTCTCGCTCTCAAAATACTGTGCTGACCTTGCCTCTTTGGGTGCTCCCAGCCACATTGACTTACTTTATTATTTTTTTAATCCTCACCCGAGGATATTTTTTCCATTTATTTTCAGAAAGAGTGGGAGGGAGACGGGGGGGGGGGGGGGGAGGGAGAGAGAGACAGAGAGAGAGAGACAGAGAGAGAAACATTGATGTGACAGAAACACATCCACTGGTTGCCTCCTGATTGACCCCGACCAGGGCCAGGGACTGAACTGCAACAGAAATACGTGCCCTTGACCGGAATTGAACCCACGACTCTTTGGCCCACGGGCCAATGCTTTAACCACTAAGCCAAACTGGCCAGGGCATTGCATTTACTTATTTTAGAGTTTCACAGAGAGGAGTCTCAGAAATTAGAATGGCTGCTGGCAAATACTACTGCTTATGTACCAATGAGCATGGGACTTCTTTCAATCTCTTTAAATTCATAAAAGGAATTTAGAATAGAAAAATATAGAATTTATGTATATATTTAAATATACAGAAGAGTGGACAGAAGAGTTCTATACACTCATATACTCACGGTTGTTAATAGTTGGCCATATTTGCTTTGCTTGTGTGTGTGTGTGTGTGTGTGTGTGTGCACTTTTGCTGCTGAACCATTTTAAGTAAACTAATGCTTCATCCTTAAATACTTAAGCATGGGTCACCAAGTGATAAGGACAATCTCAAACACAACCACAATCCTGTTATTGCCCCTAATAAAATCAGTAATACCCTATTAATCTAATTCCCTGTAAAGAATGGGCATATTTTTAAAGATATGAAACAGAGGAGCTACCTGTCCATCAGAGAATGTGTAACAGGCGTTCAGCTGGTTATTTTACATGCTAACTGTTCTCCATGAGAGGGAACCGGCTGCTAGACCAAGTCAAGGAGTGAAAGCCAAGCAGGATTCTAAGGAAGAGAGATGGGCGGGGGCAGGGCAGTCTGCCGACGCCTTGGACAGGGGATCTCATGTGACCTCCTTCATGTCAACTGACCAGCTGGCAGTGGGCAGAGGCCACTCTGGGCACACTGTGATCACAGAGGTGGGCTGTGGCACCAAAGGAAACCACTGATGTTGCTTGTGGCTTGTCTGTAAAGTCTTGGAAGTGTGACAGTGCGGCAGGCTGTCTGCGTCCTGTGGGCCCGAGTGCCCCTGTCCTCTAACCCCGACCTCGGCCAGGCCTCCACCCCTGTTACCATTTCTCCGACTGGTATTTTGCAGGTTGGAAGGTCAGCATTAGCCTTGCAAAGTATTTCTAAGCACAGCCCCTCATCTGATGGCCTGAGAGCCTTCCGAGGGAAGCAGAACGGGGTTTATGACCCACATTTCACAGGGGAAGAGAGGAAGGCCCAGGGAGATGGAGACGTTTACCCAAGGTCACACAGCTTGCTCAGCCCAAAGCACATAATCACAACTCTGTGACGTCTAAGGAACAGTGAGCAAGGGGGTGTCTGAAGGACTGGCCTGCACTTCCCGCATGAAACCCCATGTTGGGGCCTGGTCTCTTCCCCATGGACCTCTCAGCCCGCTCTCAGCGGACCAGCCCTGGGGTGTGGTGCTTTCTACCACTTCTGTGGCCTGGGGAGCTGTCTGAGGGGACCTCATTTAGGGGGCCCTCATTTAACACAGAGGCCAAGTTGGTCTCAGAAGTCCAAGACAGTTATTAGAAAGCGTTCTCTGTGCATCGAGAGAGGTTAACCGGCACCACTTTCTTCCAGAGGACATCATTCCCATGATAGTGCGATTGCTCCAAAAAGTGGGAGACCAGTGGGACGAAGAGGTGACAAGTCAACTGCCCGTGAAGGTACCCAGGGGTTTGATGCTTCCTCCTCTCCTCCCCCTCCTCCCTCTCTTCTCTCTCTCCTCTTTTCCCTCCTCCCCCCTCCTCCCCTCCCCCTCCTCCACCCCTCCTTCCCTCCCAGGCCCCCAGCTCCCCTGCCCGGGCTCTGTCACCTCCCTGCCTGTGGACAGAACAAACAGTTCGTTGTTATTGAGTTGCTTCTCAGGGAGCTTTCCTCTCTCCTCAAGGTCAGGGACCTGACTCAGTTTCTCTCATCTCCCTCACAACAACTTCAAGCCTCTCAGCCAGAGATGGCTCCACAGAACCCAGCGCCGGCCTCCAGGAAGAAATCCCAGGAGAAGAAGTGTAATCTCAAGAGAACCTGTGCTCATAAGAAACACGGCTCTGAGGAGCCCAAGAGGGCGGGGGCCGCCGACGGTTCCAGCCCGGAGTCCCGGCTGCCCAAGAGGCCCAGCTTTCTGTACCTGTGTGTGAGGGGCCACCAGCCCTCCATCTCCAGCAGCCTTGGTGAGCGGCTCGCCGTTACCATAGCAACACGCAGCTGCCTCCAGCTCTGGAAGAGCAGCTGACTTCGCTCTTCCTGGAGCAGTGTGGGGAGGGCTGTGGGGCGCAGAAAAGGGACGGCTGTGGGGCGCAGAAAAGGGACGCCTGCAGGCCACCTCCACACGGGGCCTCGCGGTCCAGGCAACCCAGCGAAGCCCCCAGGGGAAATTGTATTCAGAGACCCCCATCGCCCTCATCTCTGCAGCCTCAGCCGCCACGCCGGGCGGCGGGGAGCAGGTGCAGGAAGGAACTGGAGCCTGGGGGCAGGAGACCTGGGTTCTGAGCTGTACTTTCTATGCCATTCCCCTTCTCTGTGCCTCAGTTTCCTCGCCTGTAAAACAGGACACTTACCCACTGTGTATCTATACTCAGGCAGCCCTCAGCCATTTTATTATCTCCGTTTTACAGACGAGGGGACTGATATTTAGGGAGGTAAGTGTTCAAGATCAGGCGCATCGATGATGGAGCCAGAGACAGAGGGAGAAGGGATGGTCCTGGGTGTCGGGGAGGGACAGCCTAGCAGGTCGTCCTGGCCAGGATAATTTATATTTTAAAAAGGAGGGGCAGTGCTTTCCACCAAAGGGTAGGTTTTCCTGCAGGGGATTCCGGCCGGATGTGTTCACTCATTCTGTGGCATTTACTCTCCACCTAGTGGATCAAGGCAAGCTGGTGGAGGGCTGAGGTCGCTAGGGGCGGAGGCCAGGGAGCAAAGCAAGTGCAAAGGTCCGGCCCAGCAGCTCACCGCCACCCAGCTCACTCCACCGTGATCTGGCCCCAGAGCGTAGGGTAGAGACTCTGCTAACTTCTGGGCAGTAGTTACAGCCTCAGACTAACAAAACACTCACCATTTCATGTTGCTTCTCAGACTTGGAGGAACCTGAAGTCCAAGAGACCCCGTCTGCAGATTGTGGGTATCCAAGTCCCTTCGAGCTTTCCACTCAAGCGGGAACCCGGGGACCTGGAGAGGACTTGCAGCCGGGCAGAGCTTTGGAACGCAGTCAGTACCCCCTCCTTTTCTCACAGGTCCCTTGCAAAACGTCTGGCCTAACCCCTCCACTTGCAGAAGAGAAACTGAACCCCAGGCAGAGACTTGTCCTGACTGCTCTCTGCGCACCGCCGGTGGGGAGGCAGCGTGGGGTCTGGAGCACAGGCCGAGCACAGTGCTGCTACTACCCTGTCTGAGCTCTGCTGGGGAGTGCCCTGCTTGGGGCCAACGTAGGCGCTGGGAGGATGGCACTGGCCCATGGCACTGGCTTGGTAGACAGTGCGCTTTAGGGTCTGGGTTTGAATTTGTGCTCTGACCTCTTCCAGCCACATGAACTTGGACAAGTTGCTTCTTCTCTGGTCTCAATTTCCTCACCAGTATAATGGGGATAATAATAGTACTGACTTCATAGAGCTGTTGGAGGCACTACATGAATTAATACCGACAGAGCCCTTAGAGACGTGCCCGTTAGCAGCTAATAAATGTTAGCTGCCATTTGTCGTCACTGTTATCGCTGTGGTTGTTCAGAGCGCCAGGAAAAGCAGAGGGGAGGAAGGCGTAGGGACCACAGGAGAGAAGCTCGACCAATGGCAGCTGCCCTCACGACCGTTACTGTCTCATCACTGGCCGAGCCGAGCTTAGAATCGCAATCACTGACACTTCTGGGTGTCTGAAGGTACTCTTTAAAGCTCTGCTGCCCCGCCCTGGCTGGTCTGGCTCAGCGGTTAGAGCGTCGGCACACGGACCAGAGAGTCCCAAGTTCGGTTCCCACTAAGGGCACGTACCTTGGTTGCAGTTTGTTGGGGTCCTGTGGGTGACAACCGCTCCCTGTGTCTCTCTCACAGGGAGCTGTTTCTCTTTCTCTCTCCCTCCCTCTCCCCTTCCTGCTCTATCTGAAGATAAATGCAAAAAAAAAAAAACAAAAAAATTGTCCTTGGGTAAGGATTAAAAACAAAAGATCTGCTGCCCCCACCCCTTTCTGCCTCATCTGCTTTTCACAAAAATGTGCCTTGACGGGGAGTGGAGAAGGGCCCCTTGCTGTTGTCCTCCACCCAGCGGGACGGAAGCGTGCGGAAGCAGCTCTGGCCTCGGAAGGCAGCCCATTGGCGCCCGGGAGAGCTGTGAGGCACCCCCAGAGCCTTAGGAAGTGAACACTGACCACGGAAAAGCTTTTCTCTGCACTAGAATGTAAGCAATTACTTCGTTTCTTTTTAGGAGAATTTATCCAGAAGATCATCGCCCTACTCCAAGATGGGGAGGAACAGGAGGGAGAGAAGGTGAGGGGGACAGTCCTCACCTAGACCCTGACCCTCACTATGGACACCCCAGCCTTTGTTTGGCATGATGCTTCCCCGCTGCTCCCCCATCCTACACCCAGCCGGAGCGCGGCAGTCCCTCCTCCCGGATACTGCGGGACTGCCCTTCCCACCTCTGAGCACCTCTGGGCCACAGCCTCTGGGCCACAGGGGGTCTCTCTGTTTCAGGGGATGCCGGTCTCTTTCCCCGGCTCACTTGCAATTTCCTCAAAGTCAAGGGCCCTGACTCAGCCTCTCTCATCTCACCCACAGCAACTTGAAGGCCAGGAGCCAGAGATGGCTGTAGAAAACCTAGCCCCACCCAGCAGGAAGAAATCCCAAGAGAAAAAGTCCAGCTTCCGAAAAGCCTTTTCTCATAAGAAACATCGATCTAAGGAGCCCAAGAGGGCAGGGGGTGCGGGTGTCGCCAGCCCGGAGTCCCGGCCGCCCAGGAGGCCCAGCTACCTGTCCCTGTGTGTCGGGGGCCATCGGTCCTCCATCTCCAGCAGCCTTGGTGAGTAGGCCTGGTGTTGCCATGGTAACAGAGGCTGCCTCTGACCCCAGGCTTCCTCCAGGGCAGGGGTTGGCCCGCTAGGTGGCCTCTCATTCAGTCTTGACTTTTGCTCACTCTGAGCAGAGCAGGGAGGTGTGGGAGGACCATGGGGAAGAGAGAGGGGCGGGTTGCTGGCAGGACCCACTCACCACTCACAACGCACTCTTCACATCCCATCACACACACACACGTTTACAAACAAATGTGGTATGAGAACAGTGCATCTGTACATTAGACAAGTGCATCAGAATCACCTGGACAGCTAATAGAAAAACACAGACCGAGGTTTGATGAAGGAGGCTATGCCCTGGGCTGGCTTTTCATTGCTCCGGGGTGTGAGGACCACTGTATACAGTGATCACTCTGGCAGCTATGGAGTGCCTACTCCATGCCGCTGCCACACATATCTCATTTAACCAGCTCCCAACCCTGCGAGGCCAGTCTTATTACTCCCATTGGACAGATGGAGAAAGTGAGGTTCCGACAGGCTCGAGGATTTGGCAGAGCCTGACAGAGTTAAAGGGGAAGTGAGTCACCTGTGAGACCTGTTGGCAGGCTTGCTTGTTTTCTTTTTTTTACTCCTCACCTGAGGATATTTTTCCTATATGTCTTCAGGTAGAGAGAGAGGGAGTGAAAGGGAGAGAGAGAGAAATATCGACGTGAGAGGGACACATCGACTGGTTGCCTTCCACACAACCCCAACCAGGGTAGGAGACGAATCGCAACCGAGGTCCGTGCCCTTGGCTGGAATCAAACCCAGGACTCATTGGTCCGCGGGCCGATGCTCTACCGCTGAGCCAGACCGGCCAGGGCAGGCCAGCTTGTTTTCCTCCTGGGCAGAGAGGAGGCAGAGGGGGTTGGAGGAACCTCTGGAGTGGGTTTAAGGGGGCTAGGGCTCGCCCGGGAGCCTGGAAAGCCAGGGCCCCTGTCATGCCAGTGCCTTCGGACACTGCTTGTCAGAACCTGGGCGCAGTGACGTGCTCGTGGATTTGAGACAGGTGCAAACACACTCACATCAGCTCCTTTTCGCCCTAGATCCAGAGAGTATTGAGTTCCAGGAGTCTTCACCTGCAGAAGAGGCACGAGTTGGATCCTCAGAATCACCCTCCCAGGCCAGAAGCCACAGGCCGGAAGGGAGACCTCTGCCGGATGGAGCATGTGAATCTAGTTAGTAGCACCTGCTCTCACCTGGTGCCCCGTGGATTTCACAGACTGAACCTGAGTAGGGAGCTGGGGGGTGGGGCAGGGGCTGACAAATATCCAGGAGCTCTAGAAGGGCCTAGAGGAGGTAGGGTTGGTCTTTCAGCTGGGGCTGCAGGGGCAGAGTTGGAGGTGGAGAGCCTTCTTCAGGTAGAGAACACCTGTCTATTCTATAGGACGTAACTTCGCCCAACCCTACCCCACCCCATTGGCTTGCTTGAATGTTTCATTGAATTCCTAGCTTGCTCAGGTCTCAGAATGAGTGGCATCCTGGCAAACAGGCTCAGGTGGTGGGGTGAGTCAAGAAGGGTGCCCTGATCTGTAGCCTATGCAGATTTCTGTGGCATAAATATCCCATCGTGGCCGATTTCAAGCTGCCAACAGTTTATAGCAATGGGTCCACAATGTCCCTCAATATTTACAATGAGCCCTTGATTCTAGCGGCCACCTGCACACCACTGTTTATAGCCCTAGCCGATGGGTACGTTCCTGTTCCATCTGTAGCCATGAAGTTCCCTCCCTGCATTCTGATTAGCTGCTCCTGGTCCCAACTCCCATTCCTGACCGTGCTCCTCTGTAGTCTGGATAAGGGACATCAGAAGGTCTCAGTTTCCCCATCTGTCGAGTGGTTATGCAGGGAGCGCCGCAGCCCAAAGTCCCTTCTATTTCTATAAACTAAACTCAGGCAAAGCTCTCATGCTGCAGCACCAGTTTCGGGAAGATGTTTGTTTGCCCTTCATACCTAATCTGTGTGCTGTGTTTTAGAGACGGAATACTCTGTAATCCATGGATGTGCTGCGGCAGAACATGTCAACAGTCTCTCAATTCTTTGTTTTCCTTAGAGGAGCTGATCATTCAGAAGCTGGCGGTCCTTCTCCAACAGATGGATGGCCATTTGGGGAGGCAGGTAAGAACTACTCAGTCTCCCCTAGGCCAGCCCACAACTGAGACCTGAGTTCAATCCCCATCTCTGTATCTGGGTGACCTTGGGTGGTCTCTCAACCTCTCTGAGCCTTGCTTTCCTCTTTTGCGAAATGGGGGATAAATACCTACTTGGCAAAGTGTAGTGCATATATAGAAAATGCCGTACCCGTAGCAGATGAGATCAATGTTTGTTTAAAATGATATAAAGCTCATGTGGCTCCCCCGCCAGCCAGGACCTCCCCGATCCAAATCCTCCCTGAAGTTCAGCTCAGTCCTACCTCCCTGAAAGTCTCCTTCCCCGAGTCTGGGTGGATTCGAATCGGGGACGGTTCTGGCACGTCCTTTAGCATCTGTATGATCTCCAATTCGTTCAAGCTTTTAGATTTTCCTCCCCTGCTAGATAGCCTACAACAGGTTCTCTGCCCCTGAGCACCTCACAGTCCACTTGGAGAGACACACAGATCGCACATGAAGGGGTCTTCAGGTGTGAGCACAGGTCACAGATGAGTGATTAGTGTGGCGGACGCTGCAGGCACCTGACCTTACAGAGTGCCCTGGCCCACCTCCTCTTGGATGCATCTGCATCCTTTTGCCTGAGGACTGGCCTTTAGAGCCACTTTGCCACCCACGGGCAGGCTAGAATGAACACCCAGGGGCTGCCCTCCACCAACAGCTGATGCGAGCTGGTCGGTCCTGCCCTGGCTCCTGCCCGGGCTGGGGACAGCGGGAGGAGCTGCTTCCCGAGTGCCGAGTGGGTTGGGTTCCAGTTGCCAGCCCGAGCGGCTGCTTCACACCCTGTCCCAGATCTTTATTTTCTATCAGTGTTTCCCGGGATGTACCCCAGACTTTGTCTCTAGGTTGGCCTCTGGAGGAACCCAACCTAAGACATTTAGTATTAAGAGGAGGAAGCTTAGGGTGAGAATAAAATTCATCCACTATCTATGCTGACAAAACATTTTGCATAAACCACCTCACTGAATCCCTCCCCCAACAATAATCAGGAGGCTCAGAGAGGTCACACAGCTGGTAGATGCAATTTAAACAATTGTCTGGGTCCAAAGACCTGCACGTCTCCCCCAGTTTGCCCTGCTCTTTGCAGCTGGAACTTGCAGAACTGACTCTGAGTGGCTGTGGGTGGTGGAGGAATTGAACCCGGGAGCTCATCACAGGGACAATGAGGCCTGCCCAGCCTGGCTGCGTGGAGTTGGAGGGAGGCTGTGGATGGGAGGGTCACCCCCCAACAACACTGATGGCCTGCCTTCATTTCTGCTTCCAGATCAGGCGACACCCCAGCTTTAAGAGTGCTTTTTACCAGCTCCCAGAGTCCTCCCTCGTGAAGCTGGTGGCCATTCTGCGCAGTCAGGCGGCCCACGCCCCTGAGCCTCACAGGAACCTCCCTGAGAGGCCCTACCAGTACCCCTTTGGCTTGGCTAACAGGTTTCCTGGCAACAACCGTCACACAGCGCTCAGCCTGATGCGTCTGCGCTACCCCCAGTTCCCATGCGCGGAGGCCCAGCAGGTGAGAAACGGCGATGGCACAAAGACGACGAGGTTGTGGTCACCATAGTGTCTACTTACCGTCCCCTCCCCTCCCTGCCTAGTTCAGGGCTGTTGGGGTCTAGTTCAAATGACACCTCCTTGCTGAGGCCTTCTGAGACAATTCTACAGCCCAGTGGCCTCTTTCTTTCCCAAACCCCTCACTGGCTTTCCTTGGTCATCAGCATCTTCTTTATTTGGCTCTGGTCTGTGTGCGTTTTCATACTTTTTGGTATGAGCATGGAATGTGAGACTGGCTGCTATCTTAGCTTGCCCTCGGATTATTTCATGGGTCCTGCTGCTTGGCTTCCCAACCTGAGACTGTCATTAAATGTAAATAACGAAGCACAGTAAGGTTACCTGTCAGCCGAGGGGTGGCGGAGGTGGGTGAGAGGAGCCTTCGCAGACCTTGGTCTCTGATCACGAAGAGCCTCTCCCCTGTGGTCACTCTGCCCTCCTGGTTGCTTTCATGTGTTTCCCCTCCCTCAAGGCTCTGAGGTGCTCCCTTTAGAAATAATACTTATCACTAAATTTTTTTAAATTTGAGTTTTCATGTTTTCTGGAGGACTCTGATAAACAGTTGTCCCCACTCCTTTCGAATCCCCTTAAGGTAACCTGCTTACAAACATTGGACCCAGATCTATAGAGCAGGAGCTACTGAAAGGAAGGTCATGTTCTGTTTGTTGGTGGACACACAGAACCAGCACTGCTACACCCCATGGTCCCCTGGGAAACCAGAATGCTTATTGCAATGATGTCACCATCATTCAAACCCTCTGTCTTCCTCTCCTGGAATGAATTATTTTTGGAAGCCAAGTCTTAACAAGAAAGCTGGTCTTATTTCATGGTACTTGTACCTTGTTATTCAAATGCTCAATACCACATTGGCTTGTTTTCCCGGTGAGAACTCCTTGTGACCTTAGACCTCTCTTTTCTCAGCCTCACTGTCTTCTCCCTGAGAATGGGGATATTACAGATAATTTGCCCTCTAAGATGTGTTAGGTAATAGCTTGTAGAGTGACCTGAGTTCTTTGTGAAAGATATTATAGAAACATCAGTTCTGACATCCTCTGTAGCCCTAACTCCATCCTCTGGTTTTATCATTCATTCATTCATTCATTCATTCATTCATTCATTCATTCATTAATTCAACCAATAGGTAGTGTGCAAGGCACTGTGAGGGCCTGTGGACGTTTCTGCCAGTGGAAAAGACAGACTGACTACTGATGACAAAATTAAATACCAATTAAATGCCAAAATAGTGGTAACTGAGGTCAATAAAGCAAATTGGTTCTGGGAGACTTCTAGGAGGTGGCAGGCATTGATTTTGACTTTTGAGGATGGAGAGGCTGTACACAGGGAGGAAGGACCAGGAGGACACTGTAGGCAGCTGGTACGGTGTGAGCAAAGACCCAGAATGGGAGCTAGTATGGTGTGTGGATGGGTTAATGAAATGTCTATTGTTATCAAAGTGGACCCCACAAATAATTGGGCTCTGGCTAAAACCTATGTTCTTTTCCTCGTCCCAGGACATCCCAAGTTCTGAGGCCCAAAGTCCAGATTGAGAACTGTGCTTTGCACTCAAGTGCCCTTGAATATGCCAAACAATTGGTGGCTTTAGCTAGGAGACCATGAAGATGCTCCATGATTGTCCCAATCCAGTGCTTCGCAGACATGACTGCAGCCAAGAGTGGACAGCCATTCTGTGTCCTCAACCGTCGTGGGCTTGTTGAGACTGAGAATGCACCAATCCTTTCTTCCACCGACTGAGAGGCAGAGACTGTGTTGGGAGAAATAAGCACTGGACTGGGAGTTAGGAGGCTCCAGCTGCTGACCTGCTTCAAACTTGCTGCAAGACCCTGCGCGTCCTCTGTCCTCTCCAGACCCGGGTTCTGGGCTGGAGGTGACCCATTGTGACCCTTCTGGTTCTATACTGCTGAAATCTGTCTAAAGAGTGGTAGCGACCGTTTTTACTCTGTGGCAACTTTAACCTCCCCACTGAGCTGTAAGCACTCTCCGAATGAATGATTGAATGAATGAATGAATGAATGAATGAATGAATGAATGAAAGCACAAGAAGGCAGAGAGCTAAGATCCAGGCAGCTTGTCAGGCATTCCTGGGAGGCCTTGCTACACAGCGGGAATTGTACAACCAGTGATTCTCTTTCTAAATTGTGGGTTCAGAAGGAAGTGGGGAAGCTGCCTCGACAGTCACTGGCCTGCAGTGTTGGACCAGGGGCCGAAGCCGTGCATTCTGGGGACAGCCCGAGTGGCAACTTGCGTGCCCTTGGGCCACTCTCCTGGTTTTCACTTTCATTTAGGAGTCACTAAATCCTTAATCTTATTTTTTTTTTTGATCGGCATGTATTTTCTTGATCCACAGAACTAAGACCTGCTGACATTTTTTCAGATGTTAGTTTTAAATCAGTCTTAGTTTTAAAAGTACATTTTTGTTTAGCCTCTCACCAGAACAACCACATGCATTTAAACAGATGTGCCTTTGTGGGCACCACATCGTTTGTTCGCAGATAGAGCCCGCTTGGATCTGTAGGTGCCCCCGGGGGCTCTGCGGGCCCAGGTAGGGAAGACCTGCGGATGATGATCATGGGTCTCTCGGACCTTCCAGCCCTGCCTCCTAAATTCTGTGACCAGAGAAATGAAGCTGATGCCTTGCAGCTCTCCTGTCTCCTGGGCGTCTGCAAGAGTAGGTGAGAAAGTAAATGCGGAGGTTCTGAAGATTATGTCGTGCACGTCCATGCACTTTATTTTATTGTAGCCGCCATCCTGTCATTTTCAGGAGATGGGAGGCCTTTCCGCTGGGTCACCCTGGGTGGCATGGGCGTGCACTGCTGCAGGGCACCGCGGCCCAGGAGGCTGTTCACTTCCTGGACATTGTGCATTGGTAGATTTATGATGACAATTTCCCAGCTGATGGCAGTAAAGTGTCTTGAGAAAGAACCTCCATTTTGTTTTCGTCCAAAGGTGAGGTGTGGGCCGTTAGGGGCCCCGCCTTCTACACAACTTAACAGTTTCCAAGGCTCGGCTCAGGGGAGCCATCTGCTGCCTGTCCGCTACCCCCACGCACGCCCACAGGGCTCTGACCACAGCCTTGGGCCACTGCCTGGAACACATGGCCATAGCGGGGAGCTGTTGGCACCTGGTTGGTAACCTCAATCTTGTCACCCGCCGAGTGCTGCTGTGTGAACCTGTGGGAGCGCCATGGGGTGGGACTGGGGTGGAGAAGCCCAGGAGAGAGGCCTTGGGTGTTTAGATGGGACTGGCCTCAGACCTCAGGCGAAGTTTAGGGATTGTCACTAAGCATATTCTAAAAGTCATTTAGTGTTATTGCTGCTAAGAAGTGGGGGAGGGGCGGTGTCTAGGAACACAGCGCCCCAATGTGAAGAATTGGAATCCGTTTTAAATGGGGGTCAGGAACCTCTGTGTGTAGTTTCTTGTTTGGAATAGTGTTCTTTAAGCTGTAGGAGTATTTGTGCGAGTCCCCGATGCTGGCATTGTCTCATTTTTGTACTATGTTATTTGGACAAATAAAGAAACTGACTTGCACAAAAGTCTCAGCTGGATTACTCTCCATGGAGACAAGGTGGGGCCCCCCAGCCACATCCTAGGCCCGCTGCATGCCTGCGAGGCTGCACGGGTCAGCCTCCTGTCCCTGTCCGGGACCCTCTCTGGATGCTTCCAGGCATCCCGTCCCTGGCGTGCCAACTTGCTGAGGCAGGGACGAAAGTGCCCTGGGCTGGGCCTCAGGAGACACTGCCCACAGGCTGTTGACCTTGGAGACAAGGACACTTGCCCTCCAGACCTGACAGTCTACAACTCTGTGACTCTTCAGGTGACAGTGACCAGGAAAATGTGGGCCAGCCTGATTCGATAGCATCTGCTTTATTCGTCCCTAAATTCTGGTGCCCCAAATCTCTCACTCAGAACCAGGATAGAACTGGCAGAATACAGTGCCTGGTTTTGGGTCTAGAAAATGTGGTCTCCATGGAAAAGCACTGAGGGCCCCCTTCCCTCTCTCTCAGATAACACACAAGTTCTGCCCGTGGCTCCCTGGGGAAGGCCACCCTTTTGTGTGGTGGCTTGTTTTCTTTTCAGACCACGGCTCCATTCTCCAAGCCCCAAAGGCTCACCGCATGCTCGGAGGAGGACAGGAGAGGGCGGTATAGTTATCCTCACCTCCCAGATGAGGAAGCTAAGGCTCCAGGTGGGGTGGTGCCTTGTTCAAGGTCACACAGCCAGCTGCAAACAGAATAGGCCAGGACCCAGCTCTGAGAACCCCTGTTTTAATGCCCCCCATTATGATCTAATCCATTCGTTCATGTGTTCAACCAGTATTTATTGAACACTTACCATGTGCCAGGGCTGATGTAAAAGGCACCACCCCCACCCTCGGGATGCTAATGGACCTCACTGGTTATGGGAATTTTGTGCCAATAGGAATTCAGGGTGCTGGACACCGTGTGGGGGTGGGCCTCCCTCCATTCATACCACGGAGGCTTTCCAAACACTGGAGTGCACGGGAGACCCTGCTGCTTATAAAAGGTGGGCAAGCAACATCAGGACATAATTAACCTAATTTCTCACCCTAGGAAGTCAGGTGGTTAAGTGGGTGAGTCAGGGATAATGGGGCCAGACGAGAACCAGTCGAGTTCAGGGTGTTAGCTGGGTCACAGAGAGGGCCGTGCTTTGTGCTGTCACTCAGATATGCTTGTCTGGAAAACCAGACAGTGTTCCGGCCTTGGCCTTGGCACCAGTGAGACCCCCGATTTCAAAGCATGGTGACCGTGGGGTCAGAAAGCAAGCCATTGACGCTGGCCTATTTTTGTTTTTCTGTTTTCTTAAAGCATAAAAAGGAGAAAGGAACTAATTAGGGTGGCCAAATTTAGCAAATAAAATTATAGTGGCCCAGTTAAACTTGAATTTCAGATATACTAAAAATAATTGCAATACTGGGAATATACTTATACTAAATAATTACTCGTTGTTTATCTGAGATTCAAACTTAACAAAGCTTCTAGGATTTGATCTAGTAACCCTGGAACTAATGCAAGAACAATTCTCTTGATTACCTCAAAATGGGGGAAAAGGAAAGTCAGCAAAATGAAGGCAAATCTACAAGGGGATTTATTGATTCTTATAACTGAAACCTCAGAGCTGCGGGGCTCTGAATGCGGGCGTTGAGTTAAAACGACAGCTACTGTCATGATCGGCTCCCCCTTGCACACCAGGAACACCCGTGCATCCCCATGTCGTGCAGGACTGACAGCCCCTCCCCTGGTCCCCAGGCTCGGCCTTGGGCACACAGCCACCTGCAAAGGCAAGAGGGCTCCTGGAGGAAACCCCGCCCGCTGGGCCTCCTGGAACCAGAGCGCTTCCCTTGACTGGTCCGGCCCCAGACTCAGAGCAGGTGACTTGATTCTGCTCAGACCTCTTGAAGGTACATCTAGATTCTTCCAGGCAGAAGCTTCCGAAGGGGGCTTGGGTAGACACGTGTTCCCTCACGTGGTCCTCCTTGCCATGTTAGCCCCACCCCCACGGCTGACCTGGCACGAGTCCGCCCCGGTGCCCCAGCCCAGTTCGGGACTGATTTCCACCGGGTCCGTTGGGTTTTGCATTCTGGGATTCGCTAGGCAAATGCTTCTGAGGCCTGTGGGCGGCCTGCCTGGGGCTGGAGGTTGGTTACACACACTCTGGGGAGCAGCGGGGCTCGTTTTTTTCTGGACAGGTTGGAGAAATTGAGGCCAGAGGCGTCTTTCTTGTGAACATTTCCACATGGGCTGGGGGAGGGGAGCGGCAGGGACGCCTGGCCCCCAGCTCCTCTGCAGCCGCACCAGGACCCGGGGAAGGCCAGGGCTGCCAGCTCCATGGCCGCCCCGCGCTGTCCCGGGGCGCTCATGCAGGCTGGTGCCAGCTCTGCCCCATGGGGCGTCGGGGGGCAGCCGAGGCAGTGTCCAGTGGTCCCAAGTTGAGCCTTAAGTAGGCTGTGGGAATGGAAAACAAAGCCAAAGAACTTGGTTTCTTGACATCACAGGAAACAGGACAGGATCCCTTGCTCAGCCCTGCCTGACCCTCCAGACTGTTGCCCTGTGGACCGGATCCCTCTGGCCCATCTCAAAGGAGCAAGCTCAGGCCAGGCTTGGAGGAGGCCCAGAGCCCCGCCAGACAGCCAGGAGGCGCTGTGCGCACGCTCCTCCGCTCCCGTCTTTGTCCGCCGGTCTGCGCAGAGCAGGGCGGTGAGAAGGTTGGAAGGACCGCAGGGAAGCTGAGAGGATGTTTAGACAAGAAGGTGCTTGCCCGGGGAAAGCGAGACCCTCTACGCCAACGAGCTCAATAGCGGGTGTCACCCTGGTCCCCAAAAGGCCAAGGGTGAGCGGAAGGCATCTGAGAACAGTGGGGAGAAGGCTGGGCCGCGGAGTCGTCAGCTTCTCTCCCATTCCAGCTCAAGTTTTCTCTTCCGGCTCACAGCTTCCTGGGGAGAGGACACAGATTCATCATTTCTAGGCCCCTCATCTAGGACTTCCCTCCCCTAATGTCCACTGAGAGCCTCCTCACAGCGCCATACCCTTGGGCAGCCCTGAGCAGGCAGCCAGGCCCACGACGGCCAACCTGACGTGTCCAAATGGGACTCCCCATTTATACCGGCCGTTAGCACGTTCACGTCACTGGACAAGGGTCTCCTGCAAATGGAGAGGCCCCACTTGCAGAGCAGGAGTTGACAGGAGTGTTTGAACCATTTTTGGGTTTACAAAAGTCTGGTTAATATTTGGGTTTTCGGGAAGGGGGAGGAGGCACAGAGGCCCCAGGGTGCCGGGGACCATCGCGCAGACGGCGCCCCGCGCGAGGAAACGCTGCCAACACAGGGGCACGGCCCAGACATGCCAAGTCATATGTTAGCTGCATGCCTTCCACCTGTTATTTACGCCGTTTTGTAGTTTTACATGTCATTCATACAGGTTTCTAGCAGTTAGCAGTCAACTGTTTTAACAAAAGCAGTGTTTACAACAACCTTCCTGCAGCGGGCACTCAAGCGCTCGTGGAAGCGGTGCTGTTTCTCAGTGCACGAGGCATTACGTGGGCTCGTGCTGGCCTTGACTGTGACCAGGGAGAGTGAGGTGGGGGCAGAAGAAACTGGGTCGAGGGTGCTCAGGGGTCACCGAAGCGTCCTGGGACAGGGCTGGCTGTGTCCAGCCTCCAGGGACACTCTGGAAGTTCCATACCTCAGGGCAGCTGTATTCCTGGATCCCACTGGGATGAGGCCCATAGATGACCCAAACAGTCTTGGAAGGGAGAGCACAGAGAAGTCGGATGGGTAGGAAGCAGACCTGGATTGAGAAGCCGAGGAAACACATATGAGGAGAAAGGAGACAAAAACTGGGGATGGGACCACCTGAGTCCCAAACCCTCCTCTACCTGCTATGTGACCCTGGGCAAGTCACTTGCCCTGTCTGGGAAACTGCAGGAAGACACCTGCTGAGCCCACCTTGGAGAAATGCTGGGATATGAATTTGCATATTCATAATTTTCAAATATGACTGTGTTGTTCTGTTGTTTAAACCCTGTGGTGACTCCCTGGCACCACAGGCAAAGTCCGACCTCCTTGACATGGCACCCAGACCTACCTGCCATGTCTCCCTGAGCACCTCCGGGTGCATCGCTAGGCCTCTCCCTGCCAAAGTGGAGAAACTAGGACTAGACCCTGGGACTTCCGACTCTGACTCCAGCTCTGGGTGGCTACCTTGGGTCGCTATATCGATTTGTGGTCAACATCCAGATGCTGGTGACAGAACCTGGACTTGGATCCTAGCTCTGCCACCTACTAACTGTGTGACTTTGAGCATGTTACTTAATCTCTCTGTGCCATGGCCATGATAACTACTATGTAATTTTAGCTGTTACTATCACATCCACATTAGAATAGGTGGAAATCCCACAGTAACTCAAAGGAGAGGCTCTCAGGTGCTAAAAATGTGGGGAGTCTGACAGACTTGGAAGCAATTAGGAGGATTTTTTTTTAATCCTCACTCGAGGACATTTTTGCATTTAACCTCAGATAGAGCTGGAGGGAGAGAGGAGGGAAGAGAGAGAGAGAAAAACATCGATGTGAGAGAGACACATCGACTGGTCGCCACCCACACCACCCCAACCGGGGCCAGGGACAAACTGCAACTGAGGTACGTGCCCTTAGTGGGAACTGAACCCGGGACTCTCTGGTCTTCGGGCTGACGCTCTAACCGCTGAGCCAAACCGGCCATGGCACAATTAGGAGGATTTGAGTAGCAATTAGCAAGAGGGACCTCCTCCTTTTCTATTTGTGGCCTGCGGGCAGTCTCTCAATTTCTCCTCTTTCCTCTTTGAGGCCAGTTATGCAACCTGAATGAGATGACCACTGAACTCTTTTGGAGGATCGACAAGACTAGCAGAGGAAGACTATGCAGATGCATATATCTAGCCATGCTCCAGAGCAGGGCAGTTCTGGCGTAACTGCTGGCCCTGGAATGAAAGGGCCAGGAAGCAGGCTTGACCCCAGCCTGTCGCCTAAGTAGAGCTATCCCACCCAACTCATCGGCCCAGAAAGAGAAAGACAAACGTTGGTTTTATAATGCACTGAGATCTGGGGAAGGGATTGTTTGTTACGCAGCATTATTATAGCAGTGATAACTGACTTATACAACTCACATTAGAGTATGAATTTGAACATTGGATTTATAGTGTGTGCAGGTGTATGGAACACCTACACTGTGGCTTTCATCCAGCCTCTCTTGTCTTTGTTGGGAGGAATATCAGCTGCAGACCAGGGGTTGACACAGGACTAGCCCATGGATGTGACCAGATCCCCGTGATTGTAGTTTGGGAAGAAATAAGCAGATCACTACTCCTCCATGCCTATCATTTTTGAGCTTCTCCTTTCTGCACCTACCCTGGTCTTTGACGCTCAGAGCAGTACGTCTGTACAGAATTACTTCAGATCATCAGTTGGTGCATTGCCTTGGGCAGCGTCACCACCTGTTCTATAAAGCAGACCGCGGACGGCATGTGTGGTCCGCTGACAACAGTGTCTCACAGCTTATGAATGTTGTTTTGTTTGTTTTTATCAGAACCTGCTCTTTTATAAAGCACCTTGATTCCTAGAAGGTTGTCAACCAAGGCAGCTTTGTCTGAACCGCGTAGTTCTCACTGCTCTGATGTGTGGGAAGAGGCCTGGCCTGGGAATCAAGGGCCGCGAGTCTGTGCCTGGCACCCGGATGGCACGCCCAGTGAGGGGGGCTCCCCCACACCCCCTGTGGGCCTGCCTACATTCTCATGATCTGAGCCCCTAGGGACAGACATTCGGACACTCAAAGGCCAAGGAAGTCTTGGAGTTGGACACCAAGGAACAGAGGGAGAATAATCCCAAGCTGCACTGACCCAGTGACCGCCAGGGGCCGCCACTGTCTGCTGGGTCCTGCACCCTCCCTGCGCATCCTTTAATCCACAAAGTGCCTTGTGGGTCTGCCCCACTTCCTGTAGCAGCTCTGAGAATCTCCTCCTCATACTGCTTCTACCACCCACCAAGTATCTACCTGTCCTGGGGTGAGCCTCTGACCCTCATCTACCTAACACATCCTTCTGCCTACCCAGGGACCCCACCCAGGACAGGAGCAACCTGGAAGGATGTCCCTTCGAATGATTTAGGGATTTTTCTGAGCAATAAAGGCTTGGAGCAAATTAAATAGCAGTGTGAGTCTGTTCCTTTTGGGGAATACTTTTTTTTTTTTATCCTCACCTGAGGAGATTTTTTCCATTTTTTGTTGAGATAGAGCGAGGAAGAGACAGAGAGAGAGAAACATCGACGTGAAAGGGACACATTGAGTGGCTGCCACCTGCACGACCCAACCAGGGCGGGGGACAAACTGCAACCGAGGTACGCGCCCTTAGCAGGAACCGAAACCGGGTCTCTCTGGACCACAGGTCAAAGCTCTAACCACTGAGCCAAATGGGCCAGGGCACTTTTGGGGAATAATTTGATAATCCAGCAAATAATTATAGATGATGCCTGGCTTGGTTTCTGTCTGAGGCTGGCATTTTGAATTCGCAAGTGTATATGTATGTATGCATGTACCTTTAACAATGTTATGGTTCAGTAAAAAAATTAAGGCTTGGTTCATATGGGGCTCATAACTCATCACATTAGTAGGTTTCATTCTTGTCTTTGGTATGAAGTTCAAAGTTCAAGAGAAATTCTTGAAAGTCAGTGATCAAGTTTAAATCATCTTTGATTTCCCCAGAGCCCAGGAGACTGCCTGGCGCTGATTAGATGCTCCATAAATGTCGAATGATTAAACCAATGACAATATAGTATAGTTAAAAAGCTGTAAGAAGCAGGCCTACACAGGTTAGGGCTTTTAGCCGTAGGCTGGGAACACTGAGGAGCGCTACATGTCGAGGGTCACGTGGGCCCTGACCTGGCTTTTCCAGTGCAGTTCTGTTCAGAAGCGAGAGGCAGCCGTCAACCCCTGGGACCTACAGAACCACGGTGTCTACTGCTTACGGGCTGTTGTTACGCATCTTGCACTCTGAGAAGCAGTGGACATAGCTGACTTCAGTACACGCTCACAACAGCCCTGAGGTGGTGTTATCGCTCACTTACAGATCAGAAAATAGCGGCTCAGAGAGACCGTGTGTCTGTCCTAAGCATGCTCACTGAGACCGGAGCAGAGCGGGGTTCAGGCAGGTGCGTCCTAGTCCAAAGCCCAGCTCCTCACCCCCACTCCTGACCCCTCTCTTTGTAATCTTCCTGCAGGCCATTCCCAAAGCCACTCCTCCCCGTGGAATTTAAGAAACACTGGTCATGCTCACGGCACTTGGCTGCCTGGCTTTTTGGATCATGGATGTCTTGGGAAGCCTTTTCTGGGGCTGCTCGTCTTTGGTTTGTTCTTTCTGAATACCTTGCTCACCCAGTTGGAGTCTTCAGCAGGGCTTGCTCTGGTCAGAGAGAGGTAGTAAGTGGTTTGTTGATGACCTGTCCTGTGTCCTCCCCAGGCAGGGCCCCGCTCCAGCTCAGAAGGTGCCAGACACACGGGTGCTGTGGTTCTCCGCCCTGGGGGCACCAGAGTTCCCCAGTGACCTTTGTTTTGCAATCAATGAATATTTATCTGAGTCATATGCCAAGTAGTCGACAGAAACTCAAACTTTTATATCGTTTTCTATCAACGCAATAGAGTTTAAATCGTGTGAACAAAATGCATAGTTTATGTCCAAGCACAAAATTATTAAAGTTATCCAAACTCCTTCAAAGAGTTTTATAGTCAAAATTATACTAAATGAAGAAATCAGGTCTATTTTAATATTTGATATGATGTGATTTGGAGTGGGAACCTCCCAAGGGACCCTGCTCTCCCAACCCTGCAGGTCGGCCACAGAGAAACCCAGCCCCGGCCAGAGCCGCCCCGGGGCAGGGAGGGATGAGCTTGTGGGGCGGAATACCCTCGACCCACCCTCCGATCTCCTGCTGGTGCCTTCCACTGGCTAACCCAATTGGTATCTAGTCAGTAAGGGAGCCTGGGCACTTAAAAATATGCAGATTGCCCTGCTGGTGTGGCTCAGTGGATTGAGCGTGGTCCCACGGACTGAGAGGTCCTGGTTCGATTCCCGGTCAGGGCACACGCCCAGGTTGCAGGCTCATCCCCAGTGGGGGCCCTGTGGGAGGCAGCTGATCGATGTTTCTCTCTCACATTGATGTTTCTATCTATCTCTCCCCTCCTTGCTCTCTCTAAAAAATCAATAAAAACATATTTAAAAAATATGGAGATCCTCAGGCCCTCTTGTAACCACTGCAAAGATAAAACATGACCCAGACAATTGATGTGCATTGTAAGAAAGATTTCTGGGGACAATCTACAACAGAGGACTATTAGCCTCCTTGTCATGCTGATAGAAAATGATCTGGTGCCTGGCCGGTTTGGCTCAGCGGTTAGAGTGACCATCTGAGGACCAAAAAGTCGAGAGGTTAATTCCGGTCAAGGGCACGTACCTCAGCTGCGGTTTGGTCGCCGGCTCTGGTCAGGGTCCTGAGGGAGGCAACCAATCCACGTGTCTCTCTCGCATCGATGCTTTTCTCTCTCTCCCTCTCCCCCACACCCTTTCTGAAGATAAATATAAAAATATCCTCGGGTGAGGATTAAAAAAAGAAAGTGGTTTGGGTCCAGGGAGGCCCTGGGTTCCCGGCGTGCGGCGGCAGTGGGGCTGGGGCAGCCTGCCCGCTCTCCGGAACCCGGCCCCCGTTCCCCTGCCCTCAGGGGGCACAGGAGCCCAGTGACCCTGTCAGCGTGAGCAGGCCCGTTTCCCACACGTTGTCCCCACTGAAGAAGACAGAGAGGGTGGTGGTCTTAGCAGTGTTCCTTAGCTGGCCCCCGATCTCAGTGAGGGAGAGACTTACATGGCATCCGGCTTGCTGCTGGCTTCCTTCAGGTCCAGCGGAGGCGCGGGGCGTTGGGGCGTCAGAGAGGCGGCAGGAGCTGCAGTCGGCAGGGAGGAGACAGTGAGATGAGGTCGGGGAGGGCCACTTAGTCATCTCGATACAACAGGGAGTAACGAGTGTTCAGAACGAGCAAAGAACCGTCTCCCTCTCCAATTCTCGTGTGTGGGGGCAAAATGGTATGGTTGGACTTGACGACGATGCTGTGATGTCTTCGGAAGGACCAACGCGGACCCTCCACCACACGACCCGTGGCCCCTCTCAAAGCAGCCCTGGCAGGGAAGGCTCTCGGGGAAAACCCACGGGAGCCTGAACCTCCCACCCTCTGCTCTATGACCTGCTGTTTCCTTTTCTTTTTCTTTGGTGGAATAGAAAATAGTAATAGTTTTATGACCATTGTTCTTAAGTTTACTTTTCAGAGTATGGGATATATAATAGATGAGGATTAATATGTCATCCATGCAGATACAAATAATATGGAATCTATTTAGAGTCCTCTACCTTCTGAAGTTCTTTCATTTGGGGGCCCTGGTGAATATCTCAAATCTATCTGTTCCTTTGTCTGGGATTTTCCTGGGGCTTCTTGCAACACCCCACCCCCAACAACAGGGCCACCACTGTATGACTGACAACGCTGTCGCCCGCGGAGGCCCCTCTCAGCCCAGCCCCCACAGCGGGCTTCGGCTGTAACAGGGCATCTCACCCTGGCACTACGGACATCGTGGGCCAGAAAATTCTTTGTGGGGGTGCTGTCCTGCGCATTGCAGGGTGTTCCGCAGCATCCCTGGCCTCCAGATATGGCCACGTGTCTCCTGTGGGTAAACCGCCCCCAGCTGAAAACCACTGGGTCTGTCCACCCCCGTAGGAGTGAGGAATGCCCACTCAGGGCCCAGGGTTGCTCAGGCGCCTGAACACAGCTGCCTTTAGACACAGGTGTGATAACATAAAATAAATGCCTTTTATTTCACAGGAAATAAGAGAGCATGTGAAACACTTGGACCACTTTTCTGATTCCTAATACCCTTATAGGTTTGTCTCGTGGTGATTAAAAGAACCAAAGTAAACTTATCCCAGAGAAAGGGTCACCCGTGACTTGGGGCAGATCTGAAAAGAGGCAAAGCCTGCTCGTCTGTGCTCCTGTTGGCCCTCAGACCTGCGGAAGTTTGGCTGATGGACCGAGGGACCCTACCACCTGGCTCCCACCATTAGGGGCCCCACCCTGACCATCTGCCACGGCCAAACAGGGATCCTCTCCACCCTGGATGTACCTTGCACTTTCCTTCTTTGCACCTGAGCTTCTAGAATAAACAAAACCTGAAATGCTCTTTTCACTCTGTCCAATCCCATCCCACAGACCATGATGGTCAATATCCCACCCATGTCAACTCACTTATCACCAATAAGAAGCCTTCTTTATGCCCCCAGAGAGCAGTGGTCTTATTCTCCGTGAATAACCCAACATATTCTATTTTTTTTTTTTTATCCTCACCCGAGGACATTTTTCCATTTTTTGTTCAGATAGAGCGGGAAGGAGAGAGAGGAAGAGAGAGAGAGGGAAACATCGATGTGAAAGGGACACATCGAGTGGCTGCCACCCGCACGACCAACCAGGGCCGGGGACAAACTGCAACCGAAGTATGTGCCCTTAGCGGGAACCGAACCCGGGTCTCTCCGGACCGCAGGCCGACGCTCTAACCGCTGAGCCAAACTGGCCAGGGCAAGAACCGGTTTTTTAAAAATCTTATTTACAATCCCTAATGGACCAGTCGTTTTGTGAAATATCAATCCAATGAATTAGGGAAAGTCTTCGACGCCTGGCAGTGTCCCTTGCTGTGACGCTCTGTAACCTTGCTCTCCATCCTGCACTCATTGCAGTGAGAACTGGCAACAACCAGCGAGGGACCGGCAGTGCCCACGGACCACCTTTGAGTAGCACTGCCCTGGCACAGCGGCTTTCACAGTACAAGGTGCAGCACAGCCTCCTCACACGTAAGCAGGCAAAAGAATCGCCTGGGGGGCTGGCAGAAAAGACAGCTGGGTCCCACCCCGAGTCTGCGGCAGGGCCTGAATGTTTCCTCTCTACCAGTGTCCCAGGTGACGCACGCTGCTGGGTGGAAACCACACTTTGAGACTCGCTGGACTAAACAAATAAACAAATGTCAAGTACCCAGCCCTCTTGTGGTGGCCTGTCCTCCAGGTAGAGCCACCGAAGCTAACCGCTCACTTGGCCGGCGCAGCCCTCGGAGCAGCGGTGCCAGGCGCCCCGCTGTCTCCACTGCTGAGGGCTCCAGACCGAGGGAGCCGGGAGCGGCCAGAGGTCCATACCTCGGGGCGGGTCTGAGCCCAGTTCCTCCACAGGCGGCTGTGCCGGTGACGTCGAAGAACACTGAGGCGACGTTTGAGGCGCCCCCTCAGCTGAAGGCCCCAGGGGTGGCCTGAGGGACAGAGATGACTGGGAGGGTGGGCATTTGGGTGGCGATCCAGTCCGTTGTACCTGCTGCTGTGGTGACGCAGGTGACAGACCAGGTGTCGAGCTGGGAGGTGAGGGCACATCGGGGAGTGATCCAGGTGGCAAGTCCGCTGGAGAACATGACGAAGAGGTCAGCGGCGATGTGGGTGGCTGCTCACAGGAAGAGACAGGTGCTGAAACAGGTGGTTCCGCAGGCCCCTCCTGTGTGGATTCAGGTCTCTGTACAGGTGAGCACACCAGTGGACCCCGGCCACTGTGTCCTTCGCCTTTGGGAGCCCACTGCGTGTGCGGTTGTGTGGATTCCTCCGGACTGGCCTGCTCTGCCCGGAGGCTTGGTGTTCCGTGCTCAGGACTCTCGCTGCCGAGGGCGAGCTCTATCTGGCAGTACACCTCCACCCGGGGGAAAATCACTCGCCTGGACGGAGAATTAAGGTACGCAGCGTCTAGGAGAAACCAGAGCACGGGTCACAGGTGGCGCTACTAACCTCTGACGTCAGCACGTGACTGCAAAGAATGGTTTTCCAAATTATTTTCATAAAGAGGATTAGTTCCCACCAATGGCCTTTCTCCACTTGAATTTACCTTGAGTATTTTTTTTTTTTTAATCCTCACCCGAGGACATTTTTCCATTTTTTGTTCAGATAGAGTGGGAGGGAGAGAGAGGAAGAGAGAGAGAGAGAGAAACATCGATGTGAAAGGGACACATCGAGTGGCTGCCACCCTGACGACCAACCAGGGCCAGGGACAAACTGCAACCGAAGTACGTGCCCTTAGTGGGAACCGAACCCGGGTCTCTCCGGACCGCAGGCCGACGCTCTAACCACTGAGCCAAACCGGCCAGGGCTTACCTTGAGTATTTAATTGTGGATTGATTCACCTATTTAGGGGACGTTTATTGGGCATGTCTGTGTGCCAGGCTTATACCAGGCACGGAGGAGGTGAAAGAGACAGAAACAGGCTGTGGGCCACAGTGCAGTGTGGGGCAGGCACTGACCCACCAAGTGATCCCAAGTTTTAATCAGCTCAAGTGTTAGGTGAGGGAGAAACATGGTACTAGGAGAGAGGGCCGAGGGAGGACTTAACGGGGAGGCTTCCCTGAGGGAGGGACATTTAAGCTGCGCTCTGAAGGGTGAGTGGTCCAAAGGATGGTCAGGGTAGGACGGAGGGGAGAGTCTCAGACGGAGGGAACAGCATGCACCAAGGCCACAGGTTCAAAGGGGCACCGGGATGTTGAGGGCCTGGAAGGTAGTGTGGCTGGAGCCGGGGTAGGGCACTGTGGAGGGAGATGAGGCTGAGGAGGCCCAGGGACTCTTGGTTTCCATGGAGACCATGAAGACTTCTAGGCAGGGAGGTGCCCGCCCGACTCTGGCTTTAGCAAGGTCACCATGGCTGCTGCGTGGAGACTCACTGACAAGGGCATAGGGGACCCAGGGAAACCCAGCAGGTTGCTGTGGAGAGGTGTTCGGGGCATGCTCCTGGAAGCAGAAGATTCTGTTGGGGAGGTCAAATGAATGAGAACTGGTGAATGATTGACTGGGTGCGGGGGGTAGGTGGTGTGCACCATCAGATGGCTGCTGGTGCTGCTGCGGAGAACAGGATCATGGGAAGGATGGGTTCGGGGGAGTGGGGAGAACACAGGTTATGAGCTTGTTTTGAGACATGTTGAGTTTGGGCGGCCTTGGAGATGCCCGAAGAGAGACAGCAAGTCAGCAGTTGTGTGTATGGGTTTGTCTTTTTGTGTGTGTGTGTGTGGGAGGTGCCCCTAGCAGGAACCAAACCTGGGACTCTCTGGTCGACAGGCCGACGCTCAGCCGCTGAGCCACACTGGCCAGGGCTGTATGGGTTTGATCTCAGAGCAGAGAGGGGGTCAGAGATACAGATGCCCCACCTGTGGGCGGTCCGGCCTGCGCTGGTGGCTGTGGAGGAGCTTGCCTAGGGAGGAAAAGCGGAGGGAGAGGAAGGAGGGGCCGGGACTGAGCTGGGAGACAGGGAGAGGGGACGCAGGGCACGTTTTCTAAGGCAGGCAAGGCCGCGGTAGATTTAAAAGTTTCTGGTAAGAGAAATCGCAGGCTGGGAGAAAGTGTTTACAAACACTATTCCTGACGAAGGGCATTATCGAGAATACATAAAAGCTCTCTCTCTTTTTAACTTTAATTTAATTTCATTTAATTTTCCATCACCATTTATCCCCTCTAGGCCCTCAAAGGAAACAAACAATTCGTTTTTTTTTTCATGAGCGAAAGAGTTAACTGAAAGAGCTCCCAGTGGCCGAAGCTGGAACAATTTGAGTAAAAAAATAGAGTTGCCCTGGCCGGTATGGCTCAGCGGTAAGAGCGTCACCCTCAGACCAAAGAGTCCTGGGTTCGATTCCAGCCAAGGGCACGTACCTCGGTTGTGGTTTGTTGGGGTTGTGCGGATGGCAACCAGTCGATGTGTCTCTCTCTCATCAACGTTTCTCTCTCTGTCTCTCTTCCTCCCTGTCTCCCTCCAGCTCTATCTGAAGATTAACGTAAACATATCTTTGGGTGAGGATAAAAAAAAAATGGAATCAAATATTAACCCAAAGTATGAAGTAAGTATCCAGGAGTTTGTACATATATAAACAAATGATTCAATAAGTAATGGGGGAGAAGAGGCCAATCTTTTGTGCAGAAGAATTCCAAGTACTTTATATAGACATCCTGACCTTAAGATAATGGAGAATAATTCCTCCCTTTTTCCGTGTGAGCTATGCATGGAGACTTCCTTCCAAAAAGCACCGTGTGGAAAGAGGAGAAAGAATGACTTTACAGTGGAGAACCTGATAGACACCATCGCAACCAGGTGGCCCAGGTCACAGTCATCAGTGACCTGTCATGCAGACAGCAGGTGCCCTGGATATCATGTGCTGAGGATGGCACTTTGCCTCTGTGGTCTTCCTCCCTCCCACCCATCACCCCAGTCTAATCATGGGAAAAACATCAGGCAAACCCCAGCTGAGGGACAGACTGCAGAATATCTGGCCAGGACTGAAACCGGCCAAAGTGATTAAAAACAAGGGGAGAAACTGTCACAAACAAGAGGAGCCCAAGGAGACAACTAAACGTGATGTGCTGTTCTGGAAGGGAGCCTGGATCAGAAAACATTAGGTAAAAACTAAGGACATCTGAATCAAGTATAGACTTTAGTTGATAATAATTTGTCAATATTGGTTCATTAATTGTAAACAATATACCAAGCTATGTACTAGATTATATATGTACCTACTATAACATCTAACAAATGTGAGACATAACAATAGGGAAAACTAGATGTAGAATGTATGGAAACTCTGTGCTATTTTCATATTTTTTCTGTAAATCTAAAACTATTCTAAAAAAATAAAGCTAATTAAAGGTCTAGGGGGAAATGGGCAAAAGAGCTGAACAGGCACTTCAAAGAAGCTATTTGGACAACTAATAAGCAAATGAAAAGATGCTCAACATCTTAGTCATTAGGGAAAGGCAAATTCAAACCACAATAAGATACCACTGTACCCATTAGAATGGCTCAAATTAGACCTGGCTGGTTTGGCTCAGCGGTTAGAGCGTCAGCCGCAGACCAAAGAGTCGTGGGTTTGATTCTGGTCAAGGGCACGTACTTAGGTTGCAGTTCAGTCCCCGGCCCTGGTTGGGGTCGTGCTGGAGGCAACCAGTTGACGTGTGTCTCTCACATCGATGTTTCTCTCTCTCCCCCTGCCCCTGCCTGCCCCCCACACACCCTAGGATGTAAAAATATCCTCAGATGAAAATTTTAAAAAAGAATTGCTCAAGTTAAAAAGACCTGCCAGCCCTGGCCAGTTTGGCTCAGGGGTTAGAGCATCCACCTGTGGTCTGGAGAGACCCGGGTTCGGTTCCCGCTAAGGGCATGTACCTCGGTTGCAGTTTGTCCCCGGCCCTGGTTGGTTGTGCGGGTGGCAGCCACTCGATGTGTCCCTTTCACATCGATGTTTCTCTCTCTCTCTGTTCCTCTCTCTCCCTCCCACTCTGTCTCTACAAAAAATGGGAAAAAAAAAAAAATGTCCTCGGGTGAGGATAAAAAGACCTGCCATACCAAGTGTTGGTGAAAATTGGGGAACTCTCATACACTGCTGGTGAGAATGGAAAATGATACAACCACTTTGGAAAACAATTTGGTGGTTTCTTAAAAACTTAAACATACATTCTGGGAATATGCCTCAACTTGTACATATCCAAAAGGATTGAAAATCAAATCTCACAGAGGTATTTGCACATCCATGTTCATTGCAGCATCATTTACAATAACCAAGAGGTAGAAGCAACCCAAGTGTCCACTGATGAATAAATGGGTAAGGAAAATGTGGTATATACACACCTTGGAATATTATTCAGCCTTAAAAATGAAGAAAATCCTGTCACATGCTACAACATGGATGAACCTTGAGAACATTGTAAGTGAACTAAAACTAGTCACCAAAAGACAAATACTTTACGCTTCACTTATGTGAGGTACCTAAGGTAATCAAACTCATAGAAATAGAAAGAAGAATGGTAGTTGCCAGGGCCCAGGGGAGGGGAAAATGGGGAGTTTGGGGCCAACAGGTGTAGCGTTTCCATTCTGTGAGATGCATGTTCTGGAGGTCAGCTGCACGAGGTGGATGACTCAGTGCTGCTGAACTGTACTCTTAGAATGGCTAAGACGCTACACTTTATGTTATGTGTTCTTATCACAATTTTATATACATGAATTATATATAATTATATATAATATAATTATATATAATTATATATAATTTTATTTATGTATATAACACATCTACCATGTGATTTAATTATTCCCCTCCTAGGTCTTTAGCCAAGAGAAATAAGAGCACACGTCTACACAAAGACGCATACGTGAGTGTTTATAGCAGCTTTGTTCATAATAGCCCAAAGTGGATGCAACCTAAATGTCTACGAGCAGGTGACTGGCTAAATGAGCTGTGGTCTATTCACACAATGGAATGGAATGTAAAAGGGATGAACTGTTTATACCATGCAATAACATGGGTGACTCTTAGAATAATTATGCTGAATGAAAGGCAGACAAAAATAAGATTTCACACTGTTAGAGTCCATTTATCAAAAACTCTAGAAAATGCAATTAATCTGTAATGACAGAAAGTGGAAGAGAGTTGGCTCAGGGAGTGGGGTGGGTGAGGGGAGGTGGGAGGAATCACTGAGGGGCAGGAGGAAGCTCTGGGCGTGGTGGATTGTTCACCATCCTGACTGTGGTGCTGGTTCACAGGGGTGTGTGTGCGCGCGTGTGAATACATCAAATTGTGGAAGGTAGGAAGGGAGAGAGAGAAGGAAGGATGGCAGGAAGGCAGGAAGGCAGGGAAGGAGGGAAGAGGGAGGTAGGTTTGGCTGGACTGCCTGGATGCCGAGTGGCTATTTTTAGACAAGGCGTCCTCTGAGCTCCACCCTCAGTCAACATCCACGTGCACACGTGTGTGTGGGATGGTGGGTCAAGTACACCAGCAAGCACACCCTTCCCTTGGCAGAAGGCTGCTGCCAGGGAGGCCGAGAGCGAGAGCGGAGAGGGAGCCCTGGGCAGCAGCAGGAACGAGGAGGGGACGTGAGCCCTTGGGAGGGAGGAGGAGAGCGGCCGGGGTTGAGTTGGGGAGTTGAGGGTGCCACCCGTGGGAGCAGCTTCCTGCGGAGCTGGAGTGAGGCTGGAGGGACGCCCCTTTTCTGTTCCCAGATGGTAGGTGCGGACCAAAACCGCACTTATTCAGGCTGTGTCAGCACCTCCAGCCCAACCAACCCCGAGGCTTTAGGGGTGGTGCTGAAACCTGCCCTGCTCACGCTGATGAACTGGAAGAGGAAGCAAAGCGCGCTGGTGGCCGGCAGGAGACAGCGGCTCCCTTGCCGAGTCGTGTCTGTTCCTACTGGGAGTGGTCCCCCGGCCACTGGAAAATCCTGCCATCCTCCAAATGCTGCCCAGCTCAGGAGTGGATGCCTGAAATGGTACTATTAGGGTTCACCCTTGGGTTTAGGCCCAGCATTCCCACCTGTGGGAACGTCCACACCAGCTAAGGGTGGAAGGGTGAGAAGCGGGGGGGGGGGGGGACTAGATGCGTCTCTGCCCACTTTGTGACTCTCCCAGGGTTTGCTCCGAGAGCAAGAGAAAGGGAACGTTCTAGGGGAGAGACTGGTATAGAGTAGCCTGGAAGTCAGGCTGGGGTGCAGAGGGGTCTCCTGGGGCAGGGAATTGGTGTCTGTTCCAAGATCTGAGCCCCAAATCAGGAATCCCCCAAATCCCAAGTCCCCAGCCTATACCGCCACTGGGAGAGTGAGTGGCTCCCCAGCAGGTGGCAGAAAGGACCCGAGGCTTCAGCCAGCCCCTCCTACTCCTGCGGCCCCATCTCCACCCCTAGTAACACCCTCAAGTCGTTCACCTTTGGGATACCTGGGGCTCAGTTTCCATTTACAGCTGCGTAAATGAGGATGAGTAGTTGTCAGAGGAGAGGAGGGTTAGGAGGAGTCTGTCCTCAGAGAGGTGAGAGGAGGGGCCTGTCTCCAAGGTCAGAGGGGACAGGATTGACCATAGCAAGGACATGGCACTCCGATGTCCTCAGTCTAAGAACTACCAGCGATTTGAGAATTGTGATGAGGGCTGTATGTGGCTTTGTTCCTTTAATCTTCACAATAACCTCTGGGTAGGTCCCATGATCAGCCCCTTATACAGATGAGAAAACTGAGGCCCCAGGAGATTAATTACCTGCTCAAAATCACCCAGGTAATAGTGTCAGGAACTAGGATCTAAAACCTTGTTACAGATTAGGAAACCAAGGCTCAGAGAGGGCGAGTGATTTCCCTGAGCTCACACAGTGGGGAGGCTGGGAACCCAGACCCAGGACGCTGCCTCTGGAACCTCCACTCTCTCCATCAGCTCTCATGCTCCCCACCCCCACCCTTGTAGAGAGAAAAGACCCAGGAGAAAGTACAGTCAGGACCTGGGAGCTCGGAAAGCAGGGGGCATTTTTGAAGGGGAAAACGTGAATGTACCCTGGGGCGGGGGGAGCCTCATTCAATCCCTTAATCTCACTCCCAAAATATTTCTTAAATCTATATACACAAAAAGTTCACCACAGTATTGCTTATGATAGTGAACATTTGGAAACTCACAGAAATGGTGACACAAAGTTTTCTGCACAACTGCCCCAGAGGACAGTGATGACCAGGTGGCAAGATGGAAAGACTTACGGTAGCGCACAGGTAAACGCCCTTTGACCCAGGAATCCCTTCCCTTGGAACTTAACCATGAAATAGGTTCTTTCTTTCCTTTTAACAGAGGCGTTAGCCGTGACTGGCATCGTGTTAAAGTGTGTTATACATGTCATTAGACTCTTCCTTCTCCCCGAACCACAGCGGATAACCAGGTGTGGGGACCACGATTCCAAACCAGCACAAGGCAGGGCTCTTTTCTCTCATTTGTTGATCAATATGTGATTCAGAGTCTTATATAAATATAAACCTGTCGCATATAGTTCTGCATAAACAATAATGGCTTTATTGGAAAGAGAATAAAAACAGAAGAGAACAAAATGACATGAAAATGGAAGAGATGAGCTCTCTATTTCATAAATATCGTTTTCAAATCCAGAAATGTATTTGTACGAAGCCCTGGACGTGTCCCATCAGTTCACCTAAAAGCTCCCTTTGCTCAGAGGTCCTAATTTCTGGCCACAGAGGCCTGGCCTGGACAGTACAGCTGTCAAGTCCCTGCACCCGTTTCCAGCTCTCCTGGGGGAAGGGCAACTCCAGGTCACAAATTAGGGGGGACGCTCCTCTCCTCAGCTCTTCTACTTCCCGTCTTTGCCCACCCTCTGGACCTCCCTTCCTTGGGCTCCACGGGGTACTTACTCAGCCGCCTCAAGTACAGAACAGCATCGTCGTACCCTCGGTAGTAGTAATTGTGTAGGACCTGCAAGGTGGGCACACCGGGAGAACACAGGCTGAGCTGCAGCGACAGCCGCGGTCCCCTCATCCAGGGTGGTTGCTTTCACCGCTCTTCAGCTTCATCTGATGGGCTCCTCAAAATGTACCTGTCCAGTGTCCCATCCCTCCCTCTCTGCTGTGGCTTGGGAGCAGCTCCTGGTCATGCGTCCATAGGGATGCTGCGTCAATGCGCTAAACCGTGCACAGCTGACTGCTCGCTTCCCCTGGGCGGGAGGTGCTGAAATGTTTATGGTAGGAGCAGAGAAGGTGCATTTGGACCATATGAAGAGCAAAGTTTGGAGACTGGGTTCAAATCCCAGTGCTGCCACTTATTGGCTATGTGACTGTGTAGATGTAACTTCTCACAGCCTCAGTTTCTTCATCTGTAAAATGGAGATAATAGTAGTATCTGTCGCAGAGGATGCTGAAGGATCACACGAGATATTGCCCACAAAGCCTTTTCTTCAAAAGGCCAGGCAGTAAATATTTGGGGCTTTGCAGGCCACATACAGTCTCTGTCATCTCTTATTTTTTTTTTTTTTACAGCCCTTTATTTTATTTTTTCTTTTTACTGTATGTATTGGGTGACAGTGGTTAACAGATTCTATAGGTTTCAGACGCACAATTATACAACACACCCTCTGCGCACTGTATGGTGTGCACCACCCCATTCGACTGCCCTTTGGAAATGGAAAGCCCAGTCTCAGCTCACAGGTTGTGCACAAACATGCCGGGGCTGGATGTGGCCCTGGACACAGTTTGCTGACCTGACATTGCCATCAGAGTGGGAGGTTCAGTTAACATTCCCATCAGCAATTCTGACATCACCTCATTTTACAGGGGAGTCCTTAGGGGACTTGTTCAAGGTCATGTCACTCATTAGGAAAAAGGTCAGGACACAGATCTAGGAAGAATTGTAAGGGATCATTTGAGGGGAGGAGACACAGGGGAACTGAGTGGGCCCCACTGGCTTCCCCATTGCACCCCAGCCTCTGCCACCATCCCTCACCCTCTACCCTCTGGGACGTCTCTCACCATCAGGTCTGGGGGGAACAGGGCATGGGTCATCCTGGCGATGTTCTCCAGGGAGAACTGGAAGGAGTAGTTGAACATGCGGAAGTCATGGAAGATGGCGGGGCAGTCCCGGGGGCAGATGTCCTGCTGCCCGCTGAAGGTGGAGATGGTGATGCAGTCAGTCCAGAAGGAGCAGGGTTGCATGCCAGTGAAGCCCCCATCAATGTAGCGCTGAGGAGTCAGAGTGAGAAATGCCCCCCTGGGGTCAGAGGCCCTCTCCCCAAGCAGAAAGTACACCACAGAACTGGTCCCTCAGGACAAGTCTCGAGACTGAGGTGGTGTCCCCAAGGTCACTCAGCCAGTCCACGGTGGCCTCTGGACTCCAGTGCTCTGTCCCTGTGTGGTTCTTCTCACCCACTTACTGGTGCTGAGATGGGCTCCCAGGCCTCTGTGGGGAGGGGCATCCTTCCAGTGGCTAAAGCAGGAGCGAATGCCCCGGTCATAGCTACCCCCCAGGCTACCCTCCTGGAGCCCCTCAACTGCTGAGGCAGGACTGGGGGATGGAGCCTGCCCCACGGCCTTTGGGGAAGGAGTATGTGTGGTGGGCCTAAGGAGGCTGTGAAATAGCCCCCGTTCCTGACTGTCACGGGTCCCACTGCCTCTCTCTGTTGAAATCAGGCACCCTTGAAACTCTGCAGAGCGCCCCTGACCAGCCACCATGTGTCCACCTTCAGGTCCCTTCCCCTCTGGGGTTTCTGTTTCCTCAGCTGTGAAGAAAGGGGCACAGAGGCCAAGGCTCTGACTCTCTGGGGTAACTGAGGAGTACGTGGCCGGCATGCAAGCTGGGCTCCATCGGAATCTTATCTGGATCTCACTTTCTCTGTGTATAAATGAGGAGGGGGCGTGGGTTAGACTCTCCTACTCAGAGTGTGGTCCTGGGACCAAGCCTGTTAGAGGTGCAGAGTCTCAGGCCCCGCCCCAGACCTGCTGGAGCAGAATTTGCATTATTTTACAAGACCCTGAGTGATTCATGGGCACATCAAAGTTTGGGAGGCACTAGCTCAGGTGACCCTGAAGGTCCCCATCATGCAAGGTTCCAGGTCCCAACAGTGCAGGGTCTATATTCCACACTCTCTGTTAAGTCTGGGAAAATCTGGAAAGCCTATGGCATGTTGATTTGCTGGGCTCAGTGTCCAGAGAGAAGCCCAGCTTAGTTGGGAAAGTTCATCTAAAGCCCAGAAGTCCATCTATGCTGGGAATTCTGAGTAGAAAAACTTAAGGACCTTTCCAACTCCTGGTCTTCCCACTGAGTTCTGAGACCACCCCTCTGCTCCCCCAGAAGTGGGTCACAGGGCCCCCGAGACACCCCTGGATCCTGGTTCACCCCTCCCATGCCGAAGCACTTACCACACCACGGTAAGTCGGGGGGATGAGGCCGCAGTACACGGGGACAAAGCAGCTGCAGTACAGGGCCTGTGGGGGGAGAACAGGGCTGAGATGCCCAAGGCCCCGGGGATGGGAGTGGGGCTCCCCTGTAGGCCCCTGGGACATGGCCAGCCTCACCGTCCTCAAACTGAAGGTGGAGACATTGCCTTCCTTCCAAGTTCAGTCCCTGTCCTGGCCTCGACTAGCTGGGTCCTTGGTAACCAACTTGGTCAGTCGGGGCCTGTTGTCCCAGCTTTATTTTATTTTATTTATTTATTTATTTATTTATTTATTTTTAATCCTCACCCGAGGATATTTTTCCATTTTTTGTACAGATAGAGTGGGAGGGAGAGAGAGGAAGGGAGAGAGAGAAACATCGACGTGAAGGGACACATCGAGTGGCTGCCACCCACGCGACCAACCAGGGCCGGGGACAAACTGCAACCGAAGTACATGCCCTTAGCGGGAACCGAACCCGGGTCTCTCCGGACCGCAGGCCGACGCTTTAACCGCTGAGCCAAACTGGCCAGGGCCTGTTGTCCCAGCTTTAAAGGGAGAGGGTGACCTCAACGATCTCCAGGGTCTCTTCTAGCACCACAAATCCAATGGGATTCAACAACCATCCATGTGTATCTGGCTTGGGCCAGGCCCTGGCATCAAAGGAGGGTGAGATGCCCACCCTTGGGAATGCTGCAAGGGGGAGTAAGCAAGTCGGTGACAGTACAGGCATGACACTTGTTGTGATGGAGGTGAGTATGGCCATTGTGGCCTCAAAGGAGGAGCGCCCAGCCGGATGGGGCAGATGATGAAGGAAGGTTCCCTAGCGGGAGTGCCTGGAGTCTTCGCAGGCAGGCGAAGGACAGTGACAAGGAGAGAAGGGCGACCCCGGGCACGGGCACAGCAGGTGCAAAGGCACAAAGACCTGCTTTGTGTGTGGTGTGCTCTGGCTGGCGTGGGCAGAAGTGGAAGGTGGTGAAAGAAGGCTGGAGAGAAAAGTCTTGAAGAGCTGGTGCTAACAAGCCCAGGCGGACATGAGGTAGGTGGAGGAGGCATCCACGCCCATTGCCTATTCATCCTCCACCCCCAGGTTCAGGCCAGGCCAGCAGGGGGATGTGAGGGTGCGCGCAGGGCCTCATATTCAGGACAGGGGAGGAGGATAGAAATGTAGGAGAGAGTCATGCAGCTCAACTCCTTCGTCGTGAAAGAAAATTGGGCATATCCACAGCACGCCCCGGCAACAGTAACTCACAGCTAAGGGTTGCATTAACGAGGTTAGAATAGTGCAGGGTTAGAGTGCACTCTCCTAAGTGATAACCCATTCAGTGAGGACTCAGCCCTTTTGTCAAGGACCATTGGAAGAGGGGAGCAGAGGGGAGGGCTGTACCCACAAACCAGGAGTGATTCGAGGGAACACACTGCACCTCAGCCTGGAGGCCCTAAAAGAGACACGGGACCTCTACTGGAAACACTCTGATCGCTGAGAAGCTCCAGGATTAGCACCAGGGAGGGGACCCTGGGTGCTGAAGTCTTGAGGCTGGTGACCAAGCCAGATTTGTCTTGGACTTCTCTCTGCGCATCTCCTCTAACCGTGTGCCTGACACAGAGACCCCGGGAGGGTGCAGGAGGGAGGAACCAGGGAAGCAGAAAGGAGAAGGAAGGGAGGCAGACAGGTAGCCCTCCCTGGGGCCCATCCAGAGAAGCAGCCCTCCAACCTCTCCTTCCCCACCCGACTCCAGGGCCCTGCCCCAATCCCCGGCCCCGCCCACCTCGTCGCCCCCACGCCCGGCCCCGCCCACTCCGGCCCCCCCACGCCCGGCCCCGCCCTCTTGCCTCGATGAGTTCTTCCTTGGACGTGAACTCGGACACCACAACGCTCTCTCCGTCCGTGAAGCGGGTGAGGCTCACGTGGAGCTTCCCGGTGGCAGCCTTGTAGGAGTCCTCGGGCAGCGCCTGGTACAGAAACTGCCGCATCATCTGCACCATCTTGCAGGAGGGGGCCAGGGGCCCCAGGAAGGATTTCTTCACCTCGGCCACACCCACTTTGAGGACTCTGAGGTACTCATCTGCAGAGGCAGAGAGGAGCGGAGGTCGCGCCCGTGCCAAGAGGTCCACGGCGACTTCCCCTCATCCTGCACCCACGACACGGGAAAGCCCAGCGTGCGGACGCAGGAAAGGGCTCAGGAGCCCACCTGTCAGTCTGCGCGGGAGGAAAGCGGGAAGAATGAAGCCACTGGCTTCCGAGCGCCCACAGCTGGTCAAAGGCAGAACCAGACCCAGGCACCCGCACTCCCTTCACACGGAAGCACAGGACCACTCTGTCACCCCAGCTAGCTTTCCCCAGCTCCCCCTCCAGGCCCGGCTGTGCGGGGCCAGGCCGCATTCTTCTCGAGTCTGAGACTTCGTGGCCTGTGTGAGATCCCATCAGAACACTGACACGGTTGAAAGTCTTCACCGAAGGACACCCTGGGACTCTGGCTCAGTGCCAGCTAAATCCGTGTGCAGGGAGGGGGTGCTGGCCTTGAGGGATGAACTACAGGGAGGGGTGAACTTTGTCCTGAAACCATTGCATCACCTCCCCTTCCTGGCCCCTGGAGCAGGCCAGAGAGGAAGGCCCTGAACCAGCTGTGCCAGGCTGTGCCACGGGCGCCCCAGCAGGAGGAGGTGGACCTTCTCCCTCCTTTCGAGAGGAGCACAGCCAGGGCACATGTGCCAGATGGGGCTCGGAGGGCAGATGTGCTGTTCAGGGGGTGACAGAAGAAGGTGTAAGTCGCCCTCCCAACCCGCAGAACCCCTGGGGAAGTTTGGGTTGTAGGCTTACTGAAAAGTGCTATTATGCTTGATTCCCACAGCAACACTATGAGGTAGGTATGTCTCTCCTCGCTCTACTTACTGACCAGGAAACTGAGGCTCGGAGAGGTAACTTGCCCAAGGTCAACCATCTAGTAAGTGGACAAAGTGGGATTTTAACCTAGAGTGTGTGACTGCGGACCATACTCCTTCCACCTAAGCCGCGAGCTTCCAGGGCCTGTACCTTGCTTCCTGCCAGTTGCTGCTCATTTCTACCTTGTGGAAGCTCTCTGGGGAAATCAGGAGTGGAAATAGCTTTGCAAAGGACTGCTAAATTTTCTTAAACAAATGCTTAATTGTAAAACATTCTATACAGAAGAACTTTCTTACAAATCAGTATCATGTACCAATGGCTATTTGGGAAGGTGTGCAGTCATGAGCTCTCTGACACTAGAGGTAATCAAGCAGAGGCAGGACAAGTACCTCAGTCAGAGAACTTATGAAAGAATTCCTGGATGGGCAGTTTAGGGCGAAGATTCCTTCTAATTCTGAGATTTGGGGATTCTGATGGGAGCCTGGCAATATATCTGGGAAGTGATCACAGTGAACCTTGTTTTCCTATGTTTAAATAGAGCAGCTGAGGCACAGAGAGGCTAAGTGATTTGCCCAAAGTCACATACGGCAATATCGGGACAAACCAAAGCTAGTGATGCTCTACTCCTCGTGTGTTGTACAGTTCGTGGGTAATTCCTCGCTAATCCTGGAGGTGCATAGGATGAGGAGCTCCCGAATCATTTTACAGATATGAAAACTGAGTCAGGGAAACGCTAAGTGTCCTTCCTGAGGTGAGAGCCAGGCAGTGTTTGTTCTGACTCCCATCCCACCTTCTTTCCCTGGGTGAACGGATCCCAGAGGCTCAGAGAGCCTGGGTTGCCATGGTGACAGCCTTTTTTTCACCAACATTTAGAATCAGCTGCATATGTAGTAGGGACTGACCTGAGCAACAGATCATCTTAACTGTCACCCCTCAGAGGGGAGGGTGCTCCTGGGCGGTGGGAAGGCCTGCAGTTTTAGTGAGGTGAGCTTTACCAGGTGCCAACTTGTACAAACAGTGCTTTCCCTCAAAGGAGGGCAGTCGCCAACCCACCAGCAGGTTATGAAACAACTGGGCATTTGGATACCAAGGTGCTGGGTCACTGACTTCTCTCCTACATGACCAGTTGGTATGGGGAGTGGAACCAGGGTGGGGACACCCTGTTTTGGGAATTCTTTTCTTGTTTTAAAAATCCTCACCTGAGGATATTTTTCCATTTATCTTCAGATAGAGTGGGAGGGAAGAGGTGGGGGGGGGGGGGAGAGAGAGAGAGAGACATCGATTTATTGCCTCTTGCATGCACTGGGGCTCGAACCCAAAATCTTTCAATGTATGAGATGACGCTACAACCAACTGAGCCACCTGGCCAGGGCTGTTTCTGGAATTCTTAATGAGCAACATGAAGTGGTCACAAAAGGGTTGGTGGCCTTTCCCACGTGCCTGGGAGCCAGGAGCAGCTGGTCAGTGTGCCCTACACTCCTGGACTCCCAGCAGGAGGAGAGCTCTGGGACCAAGGGGAGGAAACTTGTTATTGCACAAGAAATACATGTTCACTGTGGAAAAAATTGTTTTAAATGCAAATAAGAAAAAAGAAAAAATTAAAATGACTTGGAATCCCTCCACCTAGCGATTAACATTTGGTTTATGTCTTCCCAGACTATATATTTTATATTTATTCTTATTACAAAATACTTTTATGGAGCCCATCTATTTACACTATTTTGTAACTTTTTTTTTTTCACCTAATAAATCATGTCTTTCCACATCAGTAAGTACCCACTTATAACCTAATGTACAAGCAACACGGAAAGCTACTGTGAGATTATAAGATTATTTATTGAGCGGGTCACCAAAAGGACTTTGCTATTTAGTTTGTTTTCTTGCTTTTATAAATAATGCTGCAATTAATTAATTAATCTCATGCTAAATCCTTTGCCTGTGTCCTTCCTTATTTTCCTTAGAATGGGGATAGAGGTGGGTACTCTAGATCAAAGGCATGTGCATATTTAGTCTTGAGATGCTATTTTATTTGTGGCTTTTGTATAGTATTCACTTATAGTCAACTCAGCTATTCAGGCGTGGTGGTGGGTGACAGGAACAGAGCAGTGGCCAAGATAATAGAAATAGTATAGACATCTCCAATATACTAACATCTGAAACGGTGCTATCTGGAAATTAGCAGCGCTCCAGGGAGGGAGGGGATGGGAGATTGTCTGATTTCTCCCACTCAGGTGCCTGGTTTAATATTCTTTCCTGCTGCTCATGGGGGATGGGTACCAAAGGGTGCTTTTATCTCTGCTTCTCCTTGGTTCTCTTCAGGTCTCTGTGTGTCTCTATCTTCAGAGCTTCTCCCCCCCCCCCCCCTTTTCCTAGCTGAGGGAAAGCAACGAATCTTCTGGTTAACAAGTCTCTGTTGTTAGAGAGTCAAGTGCTAAGCATAGCAATAGCTGAGTTCTGTGAGGAGGGATACATTGAGCTTGCTTCTCTATGCATCTCTGTATTTTCCAGCACCTTCTCCCATTTAAAGCCCTCCTCCCAAGCTGCAGGCTGCTGGGCTGTGAGACACAGCATTCCACACCAACCTCAGCAAGGCAGGATTTAAAAGTAGCACAGTAGGAAACTCAAGGTTGGCTTCTCCCACCCCCAGCCCACATCGCCATGTCCTTTCACAACTTTGTATTATCTAAGGTGGTGAGTTTGTCTCCCAAGCCAAGAAGGAGATTCTCTGAGGGCTGGTCCTTGTGGTCCTCCTCTCCCTCTATGGCCAGTCATAGTGCTTTGCCCATGAAAGGCCCTTCAGAAGCCTGTGCTATAAGCTGGGAACTCCTCAAGGGCACGGATGGGTCATACTCATCTACGCCACCAAGCCTCCCACACTTTGTGTGTGCACAATGTTTGTTCAGTGTATGAACAAAAAATAAAAAATAAAAACCTGACAGGGAAGAAAAGCAAATGATGGAGATGCTCACAAGGAAAAGCTACTTGACTTAATTACCCAATAAAAGCTGGAAGGCAAGATCATCTCAGACAGATGAATAGGTAACAGGGTTAACTATATTGGTAAGTGTGGCCAATTCGCCAGGTTTTATGACTCTATAATGCTAAAACGCCATTATAGAAAAAATAAATAAGAAAGAAAGAGAGAGAGAGAAAGAAAGAGAGAAAGAAAGAAATCCTAGGAATGGGAGGTTTTGAGGCCATTTGGAAGTTGCTCCAACTCTCAGCCACGAGATTCTTTTCCTCTTTTCTATGACCAGATCCATTTCTTGGAAAGAACTCAGGCTTTGGAGCTAGATGGATTTGGTTCAAATCCCAGCTTTGCCACATACTATCTGGGCCATCACTGGCAAGTCATAGAACTTTTTCCAGCTGCAATTCGCCATCTATAAAATGGGACTAATAAGCTTACTTTACAGGGTTGTTACGACGCAGGTAATTTTCAGTAAGTGCTCAGTATTGGTATGCCAGTAATTCCCCAGGTGACTATGAAAAGGCCTTCTTGCCCTGGCCGGTTTGGCTCAGCAGTTAGAGCGTCGGCCTGCGGTCCAGAGAGACCTGGGTTCGGTTCCTGCTATGGGCATGTACCTCAGTTGCAGTTTGTCCCCGGCCCTGGTCGGGTCGTGCGGGTGGCAGCCACTCGATGTGTCCCTTTCACGTCGATGTTTCTTTCTCTCTCTTCCTCTCTCTCCCTCCCACTCTGTCTGAACAACAACAATGACAAAATGGAAAAATGTCCTTGGGTAAGGATAAATAAATAAAATGTTTTTTTTTAAAAAGCCTTCTTAATGTTTCTGCCTTTCAGCTTTCTCATCTGAACAGGGGGCAGTGATCCCTGCCCCACACCGTAGGAAGGTGTGCTCAGGCTCACGTGTGGATGCAAACGAGCAGAGTAGAAGCACCGTGGACACGCGGGCGTGTGCCCCTGCTTCAGAGCATGGGAAGGGATGGTGTGATGTGGTACAGGTGTGGATGACTGCCGCACTCCCTGTCAACTTGGGGGGCTCTACAGATCTGGTAGGGAGAGAAGAGTAGAAAAATCATTGAAGGGAAAGACAGGGATAATTAAATATGTGTTTATCTTATTTATTTTCTTAAGTGCCTAAAGCATCCTCCTTTGTGAGAGCAAGGGTGGTCTCTGTCTCGTTCAACCCTGGAACATAATAGGCACTTGAAAAACATGAA